TTCTCAGTTTGATTCGCTTGTCCATACTAATCCATTTATATCGAAGGTTATCATGACAAGCGAATAGGTTCCAGTATTGAGCTGGAAGAAGCAAGCAGAATGAAAAGCAAAGAAAGCGTTGAGAAAGTAGTCTTATCGAGAAAATGAAGAACAAGGAAGGAGCAATCGATGGAGATGTTTAAGCATTCCTGTACGACTTAAGTGATCAAGGCGTTTCTAGGTTTCCACCCACGTCGATGGTCAAGGATCTGCGATGCTGCTTTACAAGATAAAAACGGGTTGGCAGAACACCTGATGTTTCTTAAGGACATCTGTTGAATAGAGGCCATTCGCAAAGAGGAAATACGAGATATCACGCGCGCAGTAAAAAATCACCGGCATTCTGCTTAGACCTTTTTACGGATGTCTAAGAAGAAAATATAATGTTCTTATGGCCTCTGGCCATTACATTAGTAACTTCACATAGCTGGCACGCAGGAACACTAAGGTATACTTAACTGGCTACTGTTTAGACCACTCAAAGGATAGGTCGGTAATTTATATGACATATATTTCGAGAAATTTTTCCAAACATTTTAACTAAGCAGAAAATGGTACCGTTTTTAAAAACTAAATTACATGCACAACGTTGCTGAGATATTTGCAAAACTCTGGACCACAGGTATCTACGGCGGAGAACGAACGCACTCTTGTCCTTTCCGGGGAGTAACGCGTTCACCACCACACCATGTGGGCCCTTTGTTTCACCTGTCTCTTAGCTAGTTCTATCGATCTTTTGCCGTCAGCAATCACCCGTCAGCGGGATTGATCTGGGGAGCATAAATTGGCAACGGGTCCAGTTAAGCTGAGCTGTAGTTATAATTACAATTTTAAGTTATTATGTACTACCTACTCTTTTTAATGGCAGGGTGACTGCTAATGGCAGAGATCGATAGAACTAGATGAGACACAGATGAAACGAAGGACCCGCATGGTGTGGTGGTGAAAGCGTTTCTCCCCGGAAAGAACAATAGCGCGTTCGTTCCCCACCTTAGACACCTGTGATCCAGAGTTTTGCAAACATCTCAGCAGCGTTGTGGTTGTATTTCGCTTAGTACCTGCCGTGAAAATTGTAGTAGGCAGGAAACAAAACGTAAAATGTTGTAAATTATATGCTTTTTTCGTGTCAGAAACAATACGTTGCTAGCAATGGCACTTGCTCTGAATAAAAATGTAAATTTTTGACCTTCTGTCTACTGTGAATGTAAAATTTGTCACTACAGCTCGATTAAAATAATGTCTAAACAATGGGCCATTGGTAAAATAGCAGTGTGATATATATCCCCTGTATCACCTGCAGTCCCGTTGATCGTCGAGTGATTCGAGCGGGCGCCAGTAAATCTTCCATGTTTCCCTCTTCCGTGCAAGAGTAGCCCAGTAGTTCTGCTCGCTTTAATGACTCGTCAAGCATCATATCTTTCTTCTAGTCTATTCGTGAAAAACTCCGGCCATCGAATCTGTGGTCTTCCTGCAGTGCGTTTAACATCCCGACGAATCCAATCACTAACGGTTCCTGTCTATCGGTTGTCGCTCATACGCATTTCGTGTCCGGCCCACCTTATCTTCGACTGTTTGGCGTACAGAACGAAATCTTTGATTTTTGATCGCTGGCGCAGGTGCGAGCTTCGGATCCCATCCCTTGCTTATGTGGAACGGGGTACTCCTGGCATCGTCCTTTCGACTGCGCGTTCGATAACGCTGAATGATCTTTCATCCTGCTTACGCATCTGCCAGGTTTCTCACGTATACGTCAGAGCAGCAAGTACCGTTGAGCCGAAAAGGTGAGCGCGGTGTCGGGTGTTCTTTGTTCTCTTCACTATATCCTTGATGCTCTTGAAAGCTTCCCAAGTCGCTCGTTTTCTTTTGCTCAACTCTGGAGCTAAGCCGTTCAACATGTTGATTTCCCGACCAAGATAGACATAACTGGAAAAATCGGTGATATTCGTTCCGCTGAGCGTGAATGGGCCATACGAAACCAATCTGTTCCTCATGAAAATCGTTTTTGTGAGATTTAGTCGAAGACCATTCTTTCCACAGGCTCTATCAAAGCGGGCAAACATACGCTCTGCCTAGCTTCCAGAGTGAACATAGAGCTTATTTGTTAGAGGTGACTTCTAACTGCCTCCCATGTATTTCCTTTTCACTTGATTGCGGGCTTCTAGCCGAAGTAGAGTACAGTCCGCATAGACAGGAACGCATCCACACACGAATGCATAGATACACCGTCGTAAATACAGAGGACATATGCCATATCGGCGTAGCAGGAACATCCAGTCAGTCCATCCTCTGGATGCAAGTGCGCCTCAGATAGGCAAAGATCGCTTTTGGTCGGCGATTAACACCCTCTCCTCCAACTGGGATGAGCCACCTTGCCGCGCGGCTAACTGAGAAGAAATATCTCTATGAAGGAGATCCGTAAAGAAATCAAACATTTGTTTCAAAAATTCTGTCGTTAGTTTTAAAAATATGCATCATCAACAAGTGGACTAGTTTTTACGGATATCTTCTGAGAAGCCACCGTCACTGCTCAATGAAATTGAAGGGTGTATTTTTGCAGGCTAGGATTAATAATCTAGATAAATCTCCGTTTATGGTGGTTTTCGGCTTCGTTTTTTAAATTTGTCGGCTTTCTTTTTTTCGCGAAAACTAGAGCCTTGCACTAAGTACGGTGGTTTGATTTCCGTGTAGAATTTTGAAAAAACATAATCATCGGTTATGAAAAACATTCGATTCGTTATGTTATGGTTTTCTGTGCTCTATATTGAAAGACCTCCATTTTCCACATTGAGAGTTGTCCTACCAAGTCCTAGGTTATTATACTTGGTCTTCTTCATCATGATAAACACTTAGACAACCGCTCACCCTGTTCATTGCACTCCAATCCGTGGATCTCAAAGTGACTTTTTTTGACCTTCTACTGAGTCTAATTCTAGCGTTGAAATGGACAATGATGACCTTGAAGAATCTATGGTTTCCGTTGTAAAATTTGTCCTAGTTCCTATGTATCGCTTTTACTTCTTCTTCATATCATGATGCTGATGCATAAACGACGACGATTGTCGAAGGCGCTATTGATCAACATCCTTTCATCTGCAACCGTCATCGTCGGACTTGTCTTTTTAGTTGTTGGAGTGAATGGTGCTCATGGTCAATCTCTTCTTGACGAGAACGCCACAGCAGCAAATCCTTCCTTCGCTGCATATTCCCAGGAAAAATCCTTCTTTAATATCACAGACGGCGTTAATTGGGTTGTGTCATTCCTAAGGCCAGTCCAACGACATCATAGCTAATCCCTTGAGCAGTGTCATGAAATCCTTAGCAGAAGATGTAAGTGGACGTGAACTTTCACTAAGGTCTGGTGAACACATGGGTACCGACGAATTCCTCCAATCATTATTACATTGTGGGGAGGGGGGGGGGGGGGGGGGGGGGGAGGAGGGGGCTTGGTATATGCACAGTATATCCCATACAAGTGGTCTTAAATTGTTCAGCTTACCCGCAGATTTTTAGTGCGAATAAGCTGCACTGATGAGGATTATTTACAATTTGTTGGATAAAGGAAGACATCTCCTGCGATAATTGACATACCAGCCTTCCAGTCGCTGAGTACACAAAGCAAAAAGGAATTTCCATGTTGTCCACCTAGTTGTAGCTTGAGAGAATGCGCTGGGCAATGGTATACCAGTTTTATAATGAGAATAGAAAGAAGACATTATTATGATGTAACAATTCATATCGAGACCTTTTCCCAGAAGTCATAAAACTCGGTTACTGAACAGTACAACCAAAGGATGTTATTCGTATATCCAATAGATCGGATGGGTGTGTAACGTAAGGCTGTTCTTCCACCTGTTCACTCAAATTTCATTGGTAAAAACACGGAAGAACTGCAGTGAAGACAACTTCATTAATTGTTTTATGACAGACGTTTACTTGTGTTAGGTTGAAAATGGAATACTCCAAGAGATTCACTTTTGATTTCCATAAAAAATCAGTTGGACGAGAGCATGCAGATGGTTTTTAGAATGGTGTGAGACAATATACTTACTTGATACTTGAATGGCCTCACTGGTTGTGCGGGCCCCAGCATAATCTCCATTTTTCGGAGATTTGCTGGTTAAGACATTATGGTTCCATGGAGTCCCGAGGTCAGCCTGGCCAAAGTCTGCCTCAGGTTTCCACCTCTTTACCACCACGGGTAGTCAGAGCCTTTGTGGATCAGAGGAAGATTTACCGCTATGCGACTTTGATGCCAGGACAGTGGTGGATCCTAGTAATGGTTTACTCTTAGCTTGGTTTCCTAATGGAAACGCCGGACTCCTTCTCAGCTTGGGAGACCCTGCCAGTGGATGAATCCCGCGCTGTACAACGCAGTCCGGCACCGAGGAACACCTCCCATCCACGATGAGGCGGTTATCCGTTGGGAGGGTAAGACAATATAAAATCAACAATGTTGTAAACACACTGCGAAACATATTAAGTAGTTTAGAACTATGATAGATGTAATCGCTTTAGAATGCGCTGTTTGAACTGTTTCGACACTGATTGCAAAAAGCGGATATTGTTAGCACGAAGTTCAAGTTTAGAACAAAGAATTTTGTGTAACCAAGAAGTCCCAGCTAACGCAACCATTGCATACTGTAGTTAAGAAATATAAGTTGTATATAGCAACTGTTACTTCTTTGTGGCTATATATCACGGATTGTAAAGCAAATGTTTTTTAACACAAAGTTTAAAACATTGTTGGAAATTATAATATAACTGGATAACTGTTTCGGATGCCAAACGTGTTGAATACCATTGATGATCGCACGCTCTATGGACACTGAACCAACATGAAAAGTCTCCCCAGTGATTTTATCATCTTATAATAGCGACAAGCTCTCCTTAAGTATCAGACCTCAGTGTTCGAGAACGACTGAGGTCGTCTTTACACGCTCGTCACTGCAAACCATCTTTTCATGCGTACTCTCTTCAACATCCACAGTCAACATCGTTGCCAAAGTAACTCGTCTGAAAGAGGGCTTCCTCCAAAATATTAAATGTAGAGAAAGCTTTCCGCGGGCTACTGCTGACGTAGTATCTGCGCTGGGAAAGCGAAAGGTTAAATACAAAAACTTCAGTAAAAGATTGCATAGAAAAACAGAACAAACAGGTTGAGAAGGAAATGCGTTGAGTGCAATGCGTATCTTCCACCTCGCCATCATACATGTACTGCACACTAGGCACCTCGAGCGTTATGTAATTAATGTACAGACCTGTTGCTCGTTTTCATACTCTTTAAATTTATCTTGAACAAAGTTGATTTTGAACTAGACGCAAGTTACACCTGGTCCCGCGGGTTTCTTTGAGCTAGAGAAAAACTAGATCGAACTATAATAGCGTGCTCAGACTCTCTGGGAGCAACAAACCTCAATAAGACAATAGCTTCTGTCTTGATTATTGTCTACTGAACTAACACGACTGGCAAACGAACGTTTTTTTCATAACACAATAACACAGGCTTTGCATGCCATTTCGTTAGCTGTATTCTTCGATGGTTTACGATCGTCAAATCGAGTGGATTTCCACGATGTGTAAATTTCTCAGAGTCCAATCGATATTCGTGCTGCTGATGTCGATTATGCTCTTCTACACAGGTTGCATTTTATCCACTACGACATTACTGGTCCAATCAATATTGTTAATAATGGACATACAGGTAAGCCAATGTGTTCAATGATTTTAACCTGTAAACGAAGCCGTAGACGTAGGACGCGCGTAGATAAGCCAATTTGCATTCAGTGGAAATAAACTGCAAATCTGCTATCAAAATTTTTTCTCCATCTTTTTTCCCAGTAATTGCAATCATACTTTGTCCTTAAAACGCTCAATTGGAAATTTCTATGTGCGTTTTCTTGAAGCAAAAGTTTTATCAGTTCGATAGCCCTGCTAAGGAAGCTCATGAACCTTCTGTTTCTAAATATCGTTCTAGAAATATAGCTGTGGAAGAGCTAGCAAAAAAAATTTGGTGTACCCACGATGTAACGTTTTAACCCCGTTGCTGGCCGAAGGATTTCTTTGCAGAAAATGCCATGTGCATTCAGCTGGTGATAGTTTAGTAATGGCTTGCCTTCAGTAATTTATTCAAGTAATTCGGCGTTTAGCCTAATTGACAGTAGTTTCATCTCAGTTATGTGAAGTTATTTATACTAGCAATTAGCGACTACTTTTTCAAATGATTGTGTGGAATTTTGGGTTTCATGTGCTCAGCACTTTAAATAAGTGCATCAGTATTGAATGAACGTTTTAGTTTAAATTTTAGTAAAAGTTGATGGATTTGACAAATGGGGCTCAAAGCAGCCCTACATACAAGGTGGTGGCTTGAGACACCGTTATAATCTGGTGCAGTTCCACTTCCACTGGGCGCAGCACGATCATCATGGATCCGAGCATAAAATTGGTGGACTGCATTATCCGGCGGAAGTACGAGCGTTTGTTGATTCAGCTTTATTCTTTAATGACTTTGATTTAACAGTTTTTAATTTCGCTAGGTTTGGTACTCTTCCGTGAATAATGGGGCTGTTTACGTTTTTGCAGCTGCATCTGGTGCACGTAAGGCATGACGTTCCTCTTAAAGACGCGTTGCGGAAGCGAGATGGCATAGCGGTTATTGGTGTTTTCATCGTCATCGGGCATGACGGGAGTTCAATAGCCGAATTTTCACCGACCTTTGGGAACCTCGTGTTTCCTGGTGGGAAAGTGATTTAATGAAAAATTGTTTAGTTAGTGACGTTATGTTGTGACAACAACATGACACTATGGCTGACATGTAAATGAAGTCCACACTTTTCTAAGTAAAATAAGGTAAACTTCTGGCAAATATAAAACGAGATAAATGAAGGCCAACATGTTCTACTTGTTTCTGTTTGCGGAAATCCAATAAGGATATCGTTAAACTGAAAGGGATTCCAATAAAAGACGATATATCTTCCCCTTAAAAAGAAGCTAAAGCTCTTGGCGTTGAACAATCTTTGAGGTATAAGTCATGCATTGGAATTCATTAACGATCTTTAAAAGTGACTGAATGCAAATCTGGCTCATACAATGACTTGCAGTAGCCTAGCGTCGTTTGAAATCAATTCTGCTATCTTCCTAGACAAGTCTGGTATCAATTTACCTACACCGGGGATGGATGGCATGGTGGGCCCGGGGCGCGAGGTTGAGTCAATGATCGATTCAGTGTGTATAGCAGGGCACCTCTAACCACTGCGCTACAAGCCAACTCTCGTGTATCTAGTATTTGAAATACTGACGACGTATAGTGACCGACACATACCCTTATTTAGTGAAAGAATTTTTCACACTTCAACAAAAATACGGGATTAAACTAATCTTTAACTATGATAAGTAGTTTGGCGAATATTCAGTGTTTTTTCTCTTCCACTTTATAAGATGTAGACCAAGATCATGTGGCATATAAAGCGAGGTGAACATCTTACCATTTTTTTTTTGGATATTTGAAATTGGTCGAAGACGCTTGAAGAGTTTAGCGAACTTATATTTATGTGGCAGAACCTAAGTCTAAGCCGAAAAAATCCGTCAGAATTCTCGAAGAATTATTACGTTTTCAATGCTACCATTCTGAGTGATCAACCAAACTCTTGGAAGAAATTTTGAAACATCACAAACTTCATACAAGCCCACTAATTAACACGTATAAATGCTTCTCTCAGGAAATCGGTCGAGGGTTGAAGGTTTCCGTGCTCGTACGCTGCTACCTGCACACACGGATGCTTTTTACCGATATGTGGGTAGTCTTACGACACCGGATTGCAACGAGGCCGTCATCTGGACAGTACTCAGCGAGCCGATCTCGATGACCCGTTCACAGGTGGGCGGAATGTCTGGTGATTTGCGGGTCTATTCACTATTCTATTCATTAACTATTCACTCTGTGTTCCTTAATTTTTTCTTGGGAAGTGTATCGCTCGAAAAAATACAAGCTTAATGCGAAATTGAGAGACAGAGACGTGGACAGTTCGTTTTCGAAACATTGCAATATGTCATTTGTTCTAGCCAGCTGATTTGCGTGATCTGAGCAAAGTGAAGTGAATTAAAATGTCAGAGATTAATCCTGTCTTTCTCGTTTGATTCTAAATACACACTGTGTTGGAAAACGCCGGAATGTTTTCCTTCAGAAGCAATGAAAAAGAGCAGTAGTATACCAGTTATTGATAGTGACTAAGATACCGTAGATGCCCTGATCGCCTTAGGCCCTACCAAGCTTGCTCTTCTCGACAAATAATCGTATGGGGCTCTGCACATTTTTGATTTAATTAGCTGGTTTGACGATATTTGTTTTTTTTGGAGTGCTGAAAAATCTCTTAGGAAGTTTCGAGGTTGCCACTACAACCTTATCTTGTGCGTAACCGAAGGCTTGTCAACTTACAATAGTTTTAACCCAAGATGATAACTATTCTTTTTATTGGGTTATTTTCATCTAAACATCTTCTCGTTGTCACCCTCGGAGGAGATCGGAGCTAGAACTCCGAAGGAACCACTCAGTCACTTCGAGCCTATAAAACTTTACACGATCTCGTCTCCAAACAAACATTATCAATAAAATTTTAAAAAAAGTTGATCAGCGGCTTTTCCTCAGCGGAAGGTACGTAAAAACGGCTCCGAAGAAGGCGATACTGCTGAAACGTTAGCTACGATTGTGTTGTATGTGTGTTATTGTATCGAAGTATACGCATGCTGTTTAACAACCTCGCGATTGCTGAGGGTGAAAACAACGAATTAATAAAATTAAAATTATTCGCTTTTGCCAACGAGATACTAGTCTGCCCTCCATAACGATAAGAATTTTTACTTTTGGAGCGTACGAAACTTCTGAACACATCTTCATCAGCAGCTGGTTTTTTGAAAATTTTCTAAGCAAGTAGCTGTAGAGGTACTTGAAGAATTTCCGGCCGGTTGACGAATAACACTAACTCAATATGATGTGTGGTACAAAGTTTCGTTCTTAATTCTTTCAACATTTACAACGGTGGTTGCGCGACATGTAGTCGAATCACGTCCAACGATATCATTGCTTCATTCGGAGTGCGCAATGTTTGACGCATTCTTTTGTGCATCTCAACGTTTTTTCTGAGAATAATTCTTTACTGTAATGACTTTATCAGGGTTAATATTTCAGCCATTTAGTAATGGCTAAGCTGAAGTATTTAAGTGTTTGACCTTCGTCTATATTTGCTCTGAATATCATTAGGTTCGCCACAGGTTGTAATTTTTGACGGAAGAGTTCTCATGGCAATGTTTTTCTTGCTTTCCATTCAATTCATGCGGCGCTCATTTTTCGTATTTTTTTCCATTTCGCAAAGAATTCCGCTAAAACGTTCCGAAGCTATCGTTCTTCGTACACCTAATTCTCCACCAGTTGTTCAACGTTTTGCATAGATCTGCTTCTGTAGTGTTTTCTCGTGGAAGTCGCCGATGCCATTAGATCGTCACTAACCAGCTTCATCGTCGAAGCACTCATCACGGTTATGCGATCACAAGGCAACATTGAAGCGTGGAACCAATAACGATTCGTTGGCGAATATAACGTTGATATTGCCAGCGATTTCCATCGGTTTACTTTCATTTCCAAGCTCTTATAAAATTTTGCTAAATTTTACTGCTGTTACTCTCCCATTCCTCCCAACGGTGCACCGCCTCATCATGGCAGGGAGGTGTTCCTGAGTGTCGGAGTGCGATGTACAACGGTGATTCATTCCCTGGCAAAGTCTCCTAATTTGAGAAGGAGTCCGTCGTTTCCATCAGGAAGCCTAACTAAAAGTAGACCAATACCAGAATCCACCATCGTCCTGGTATCAAAGTCGCATGGTGGCGAATCTCCCTCTGATCCACAAGGGCTGCGACTACCTGTGGTGGTGAAAACCTGGGGCAGAGTTTGGCCAGGCCGACCTTCGAATTCGAGGTAACCACAATGGATAAGTTGGCAAATCTCCATGAGATCGAGATTATGCTGGGGTTCGCACAGCCAGTGAGTAAGTGTCATTCAAGTATCAAGTATTCCCAGGGTATTCCCAGTTAGTAGTAGTATTCCTCTTCCATTAACTACAATCAGTGGAAATGAGCCGAAAAAAGGGTAGCACGAAAGAAATGAGAGGTGTGGTGTCTATAAAAAGGCGAAAGGAAAAAGACGGAGGGAGGGAAATAAAAAAGTTTTTATGTATGAGATTTGTAGAAGGTAAAACTAAAGGATAAAGCTCTTGTCGTTGATCATTCCCTGAGGGATTCACGATGCATTCAACTTCATTAATCAACGTTTGAAGGTGGTTGAATGCATATCTGACCTTTACAATGACTCGTGGTGGCCTGCTGGTGTATCGAGCCAGTGCTGCCATCCTGTCAGACAGGTTTGGTACCATTTCGCCGACTCCGGAGGAATGGAATGCTTGGTGGGCCATGGGCGCCAAGATGGATTGCACGTGTGTGTTGCAGGGCGTCTTTGACCACTGCGCTTGTTTATAAACCTAGTTTCTTGCTGATATCTTTCTTTGTTGACTACAACATTTAAGACCTACAGCTAAAGAAAATGCGGTTTTGTATCGCTATGCTCTTAGTTGTTTAAATTTTGTTTTATATTGAGCGACTGATCTAGGGATTGTTGGCGATGTTAAGCATTTCGAAATTTAGATGAAGGACTTGCGGCAATTGCATTCAAGTGACGGCGGTCGCTTAATGCACAATTTCCGACCTATACAACCACTAAATGGGAGAAGAATCCTCTACAGACCAAGTTCATTCGATAAGAAACTGCTCTGCGGTGGTAGTTCGGCTGTCAGAGTCATTGCTGCTGTGCTAGTAACCATAATATCTTATCTTCATTAACTCATTAAGTTGAATAAGAGGATTTATATACTTGTATTATGGGATGAAGCACTTTATCACTTGAAGGGATGCGCATACAAATCACCAAACGTAAATATGATCTGTATAATTTCATTAGTTGCGAAAACGTTTTATGTCATGAAGCTTCTTGATTCCATTATAATACCATATAAGTCGACTAAAATAAGTTGGCAAGAGAACAAGCTATTTCAAAAGATGAACAAATACGCAGAATAACAAGGATGAACGATAAGTACGGCCGATGGTTTCACATTCTGAGATAAATGAATAGGACTAGAAAATTACGCCGATAAAAAAAGAAAAACCAGTGACCAGAAGATATACAAGTTAGCTAACCAGTGTCAAGTAACTGATGAAAGTGCGGCATGAAGTTGAGTAATATTGCATAGTAACAATCATAATCTGCAGTTCAGAGATGACTTTACGTTTTCAAATTAGTCTTTCAAAAATGTTCTATCGCTTTTTTAGCAATGTCAATTCTAGCGATTCCACAAAAGCATACAGGAAAACCGTGAGTTGTATTAAATTCTAACCTTGCAAAGAATAATGCATAAATAAAACGCTCTCGTAGACGTGCACCTATACGAAGGGATACATGTGAGGAGACTCTAGGATGACCACTTCGGCGTAGGCGATGAAGATCGTCGCTTACGTGCTTTGGATTTTGAGCCATAAAAACTAGGGTGCATGGAGAATGTCGAAAGCGGAATTCTAAAATGTACGAATGCGCACGAAATAATTTGGCCTATTTCAGAAAAGAGGTGAGCATGTGAGAACAGATGTGTCAGATCGATCCTTGACAATGAATCCAAGGTTGAAATGACAAAGAACTCGACTTTTCTTCGAGAGCCATGAGCAAAATCATGTGAACTGGAAGTACGTGCTCTGCATGTTGTAGAGTTTCTCGATAGGATTTTCCGGATACGTTTTCTCTGACCGCGACATGTCGAAATCATCGCAGTCGGAACAGTTCTCTGCAAAGTCAGTTATTACTTTATCCGCTATTTTGCACCACAAAAGTGATAAAAGAACATAGGAAGATACTCACCGTCATCAGAACTCTTCTCACCTTCAATGCTTTTACCCTCGGAATCAAGGGCACTTGAGCCACGCTTTGTTTCCTCCTTTCGTTGCATCTTTTTCATCTGAAACCACGATAATTTATTATTGTATTTACTATTTGGTCACTTCAATACTAGTAAGCTGCCGCTTGGTGTTTAAAGTGACGAAGCCACGCTTTCAAGAATACGTGAGCTCATCAAGATTCACACATTTGCTAAATGTCTACTAGAGAAGTGTACATATGGAGCATAATGAAGACGTGAAATATTTAAAAATTCAAGCAATGGACACTAACATTTTGCCCTTTAACATTATTTCTGCACTTCATCATCGCTCATATGCTACGTAGTGATTTTTATGCTACGGCCATAAAATATATCACTTTATAAAAACTATGCTAAAGAACAATGCACACTGTATCACACCTTCGCTCTCTGATTTTGGAACCATACTTGGACCACACGAGCACTGAGCCCTGTTTCTTTTGCTAGTTGCTCACGGATCTGGAATGCAAAAACTGCGGAGAGTTGCTGTCTACAGTATCATTCACTGCATATTAAGTGAAAATGTATATCATAAAGACGCAACGATCAGAACAGATTGAAGTTGATTAGAATAAATAACAAGTGACACCGTTTTTTTTCTAGAATACTCTATGGAAATGACCTTTCGGCATGGTTTCGCGCTTTTTTCAAAAGCCGCTTTGAACTGCTTCCTCTGCGTGGCGTTGAGTATTGTTCTAGGTCTCTTCGGCGTCTTTCGACTGGATTCAGACGTCTCGAAGTCAAACATCGCAGGCGCTCCTGCCACTGAAATTCGCTGATCGTGTTCACTTTCCCGTCCGTTTTACTTGAAAGTTATGTAAAGATATAAAAAGAGAAGGTAAAAAAGTGAATGAGGCCTTACTCTATCGCCCTTAAAGTCATGCATACTTCTATAAAATATGCTTCCAATTTTATTATCAAGGTATAAATTTTTCAACAGGTCGAAAATGAAATTGAAAGTCGAAAATGAAATTGAAACTTTGAAATGTTCCAATATAAGAACGGCAACTATAAACGCCAAGCTGCAATGGAGAGCACCATCGTCTTATGCTGGATAAGATCTTGCTTGTTCGATTAGCTCCTTGTTCGAAACACGACCGCCAACTGACAAAAGAAAGAAAAGAATATGTCTGGGACTCCAGGAAATCAGAATTCCACCACGACAGAACAAGGAAGAAGACAAGACATTTATCTTGGCAATGATGTAGAGATTCTTGTCCTTTTTAGTTAAATTGACGAAATTTGCTGGGCTGGGATACGTTGGTCTAAAATTAAAAGCGACCATTATGTTTCTGCGAAATGAACTGCACTGAGTGCATAATGACCAACCGGAAGCACAAGGGTACACTGGCTTCGCGTGTTCACGATGTGCACGATAACTATTGCAACAAAATAGCTAATTGAATAATTTAACAGTTAAATCCAAGTGAATAAAGAACTCAATAAACAAGTAGCGAAATAAGCAAAATAACAATGCTGAACTGAGAAGAAATGTTAGCAATTACTTCATAGGCATAGTTTTTCCTTTGCGGCATGAAGCCGTGAGCGAGTCCTTTTTTTGCACGACACACTCATGATATTCTCTCTACTATTCAAGTTTTCAACAGTTTGTAAAAATACAGCTATTGGAGCGCCATCGCTTACTACAAAACAGTCAATCATGTGTAAGAGTTTATGGGACGATCGATAGGGTTTCTAAATGCTTTCACAGTATTTGAGTTGTTTAGTTCAACCGAAATGAGAACCGCTTAGTTTTATTGGTTAATAATAGGTATGTACATACTGCTATGAATATGGTTTTGTAGTAGCATGTGGTAGTCCTTTCGGCATACAATCTCTCCATCAACGATCAAGTATTCGTCGCCCTGAAACTACTGTGACGAATCAGTCCAGGACGGCTGTTTTGATCCTTTTTTTGGCGCCTTTGTTTTTTTTAATTACTCATTTCCTTCTCATTTCATAAACTATACATATGGTACTGTTTCTCCGTCGCTCATAACAAAATCTTTGATTAATCATACCTTTTTAAACTGTACATGGCAATAAAAACAAGAGAAACAGTGCTGATGATACGTGGCATGTTGACAGCGGAACACCAAATCACGTGAAGCCAGCGCTCCATGACACCGTGCACAGAATCGACCGAATAATCTTGAAAATAACAAAATTGGAACAGAAAGCCTAGCTGGAAACTCGGCTTGTTAAAACGATAGAAATTCGTTGGGCTAATTTGAAAGCTGCTATTCTACAGTAACCATAATTTGAGTGGCAATCAGATCATTTTTTGGAAAATAAACATGAAGAACCGTAACGCATCAAAATTCTCCTTGGTAGTTGCCATCCATCGCAGAAAAAATTTACATATTTTTTCTTAAAATTTGAAACATTCTTGTGCTGGTGATTTCACATTATTGTAGTTGAGTTTTTTCACGCAGCCTCCAAAGGTTTGCTACCTCATCATAGCTAATGACGGAAGTGATCCTTGATTTCGAAATGCAATCGCAACAAATTCGTGCAAGCTCTTAATTCGACAGACGTTTTCATCCGGAACTCAGTTAAGAGTTCACACTTACTGAAGTGGAGACCAGCATGCAACTCGCGGCTATCTTTTCTCCAAGAGCATTAAGAATAAACGATCTTGTTAAGAAACCTGATACTGTTCGTGTCTTTGGACGAAGCGGAATACAATGATTAACTACGGTTGCAATGGCGAATGAGAATTTCACTGGTGCCTGCTTGAGTTACACCATACATAAGAAGAACACAGGCAATATAAACGACAAATTCGATTTTTTTTCAGCTATAGAATTTAGAAAGTTTATTTAACGAAAGAGCTATGTTTACTACTTTAACGCGTTAAAAAAGCATCAAAGCAAATCGGAATTTAACCAAACCATTATTTAAGAGTCGTTACGACCAATACAAAACCTAAAGACGGCTGAAAGCCTAAGACAAGATGTCTCGTCAAAAGAATATTGGTCAAATGAAATAGACGAGTGACAAGTGATGCTCTCAATTGCTAGGTCTTGCTGAGATCGATGCGATAATGTCTGCTTTCGAAACTACCGTAATCCAAAGCCATTGCGCAAAGTTCTGAGATGCCAGATCTGTTATAGAACACCTAAGAATTGCAAGCAGTTTTTTTGATGGAGAATATGTGTTCTGAAGCAATACTCATATGGACTCAGCAACAGACATTACTATTAGCGCTAAAATAGGCAATGTTGGAAAGGCAGTAGTTCGATTCTAAGTACAATTTCTGAGGTACTTCATCCATTTTCAACCTTTATTCTTTTAAGGCGTTAGCTACAATCTGCAATGAATCTACCTGAAATGACGTTGTTTTATTCATTGGCAATTTTGTTCTACCTAGCATACAACATTTGTCTTTTCAGTTTATTTTTCTTATGACTTGATTCGATGCAATTGTTCAAAGATCTTCTGCTTATCGTGCAAATGTCCCATTACATCTGCACTGTCTACCGATTGTATAAATACTGTTAGAAAAAATTTCTGCAACAAGCAAAGAAGCGATCTTGCGTACAGCTATGATATTTAAAATCCTTATGGAATTTCCAATTCTTCATCTCACTGACTGACATCGAAAACTCGTTTTTACTGATCCATTTCCTGCCGGGTGTTTTGTTTTCGTCATCTGCCTCTAGTCTAGCATTTGATATCAGCACAATATCTAATATTGAAGACCACCTACTGTGCCCTGACACAGCACGAATGTCCTATAAAACCATAACGGTATTTCTCTAAATTCGAAGAAGAAACAGCAAATGGTACACAAGAATAAAATAGGCTTATCCTCAACCTGCGTCAAGTTTGTGCGAAAAATCAAACATCTTCCGAAGAAAAATTGCATTTGTTTTTATTCCAAAAATCGGTCTCGTAGTTTCCCTTTACTAGGCAAACTACCTCACAGCAGGAAATATCTTTCTAGCGGATTGTTTTAATCTTAGGGAGAAGCTGTCGTGGATCTTAAAGCTGACAATTAGAATCTAATATTGCGTTGCTGGCCTCCTGAATAAACATGAAACGCAAACATTGAGGAGGTTGATATACCGTAATGCATTCGTCCTCCTCCCCGCCCTCACATGTTAGTGTGATTTCTCGCCTTCACTTCTACCCCATTACAACACATCGGTTATTTGGGTATTAGAGCAAGGAAAGATAGTTAAGGACAATCAGAAAATACTTTCCATACTTTTCGCGTATGCAAGTATGGCTCCAAATCCGTGCACTGGGAAGTCTTAAAGGTGTAGGAGTTTCAATGATAACTTCGTTGAGGTATTTTCTAAATCCCTGTTTGCGGGACAATCCTGTTTGCTCCACGTTTAAGGCGCAATCCTTCATAAATATTGTATCCACTAGACAAAAGCTGGTCTTTTGTACGACAAAAGTTCCTTTCCATATTTGTGACATTTGGCCCCACTTAGACCTACGGTTGTACCTGAATTCTCGTGCCTTACACGAGCACTGATTTAGCAGACTGCTGAAAAAACTGTTTGGCACGATACGTAGGATGATTAATACTCCATAATTTAGAGAATTTTCATTGCTCAAACAAAGTGAATACGGCACTGCGTTTGGAAATTGTATAGAAGATCTTGGGTCTAAATGTGTACCGCTGTTTTCAAACATTTATATAGCTTTAGGTACGAAAAAGCTGGATGTTATTCCATCTATCGTTAATGAAAAAATTCATTTCCGCAAATGATAAAATTTTCTACACGGAATATAAAGGTGTTGGTTAAAAGTGAAATCTAAAGAACAGCTCTACCCATAAACCCTTCTAAAAAGATGTAAGAGTTGAATATTTTATTCCCAAAAAGCTCGATTGAAATAACTAGGGCGTTTCAATGAGAGCAAATATAGGAGAAATCCTCACAATGGGGAAGCCACTAAAAGAGCTAGCTTCAAAATTAAATCCCAATGATGTTCCTGCTATTCATCCATATGTATGTTGTTAAAACCAAAGGCCAACTGATTCCGGCGGAGCGTTATGATTATTTGGCTGCCACCCCTTGTAATCGCGCATATAATCCGAACAAGGAGACGAAGCAGGTGATTCTATTACAGATTCAGACGAGTCGTCGCGTTTGTGGTGTGTTAAGCCGACCAATGACACATTATTGCCGGATTATAGGCCGATCGCGAAACCCTTGACATGAGCCGTTGGGGCTTCCTGTCGAATGCACGATGGTTCACTAGTAGGCAGCTGGCTCTGCCCATCCGCCATTACATCATTCCATACTTGTACATGCAATCAACATATCAAGAGCTTGTTATATGACTAAGTTAAATCAATCGTTCATCCCTCACAGCGTTCAAACAAAGGAATGAATATACCGGAATATTCTTGTTTTTGAGAATTCCAAGGTAGCCACTGTGCACAAAGTGTTTCAAAATCAGTCCGAAAAACTATCCGAAGAAAAATCCACTAATCTAGTGTAAAGTGAGCTCCATGATGGTAATTCACCCTAATTAGTTCTTACAACGAAAATTTGTTGCGTATTACGAAGGTGGATTTTACATACAAGTACTCCAAGAACGGTCAGTTATATGCTTTTCGAAAAGGACAGAACTATGAAGGCAAGAGCAATTTAGGCAATCCTACTAGAAGCAAGAAAGAAACTCTTCGATTGGCTGTATCGTACCAATTCCAATCAGTGAGTAGAGAATAAGTGGTCCGATCAGCTGTCTACATTTGCACGTTTGCATTGTCAACCATATCAGTAGTTACGTAAGCGCGCACGAACGCCGATCACAATTTGACAAGTATTACGGCCAGAGTGAGCTGGGTTGATGGATGAGAAAAACATAGTGACGATAGGCATGATTGAGAGTATGAAGCAACGAGTAAAGATAAATTGAAGACCGGTTAAATTAACTTAGGCGCTAGTATTTTGGACACCTTACAGATTATTCCTGATGTCATTGTTTAGGTGCTATCAGCTAAGTGTCCTAGAGATTCGCCAAAAATGTCCGCAAATCACCACCAAGTGCTTCCAATGAGGGTGTGCCTAAGAATCGACACTCTTTAAATTTAAGGATGTTGAAGCACTTCGGAGCTGAGTAGCGATAGACACGCGACCATAGCATTAACGTCGACGAAGGCATAAATTGAGTCGACTTGGCTAGTCAAACAATGCAGAAAACCGGAGAACCGTGTGATGAAACTTCTTGTTGTATCTCTAATTTGTCTTCTAGTTTTATAAACATTATCAGCAGAAAAGACGAAGCGACAACACTAAAATGAAAAGCAGTGGGAAAGACGGGTAAAAGTGGATAGAAACCAACATCGAGTGATCTTCTCGGCAATAAAGTCGTCCGTCTTTAGAAAAACACGTAGGATTGTTGGATAGATTTTGATTGCATGTCACACATCGTAGACAGCACTCATGAAATGAATCGGACATTACCTGGAATATTGTTTTTTCAGTAAGAAAGAAAAACTTCACACATTAACTTTCGAAGCTCTCAACGAAAATTAGAACCATAGACAGACATCAAAGCCACAGTCTTAAAACTTGCTTGAAGTGAAACGTGAAAAAATATTGGTCCAAGGTTGATAAGGTCAATCAGAATCAACTAGTTGTTTCTACACTGTTGCGTGTGCGCCTCAGAGTGAAATCGAGCCTTGTCGTAGATGCCCATACCACTTACAGCTTTCGAAATTGTTTTGATACTAGAAAAGTAATCAACCCTAAGGACGAACTGATCCTTGATTTCATAGCCACATACGGCGCACACAGATTCTTCCGCTGCCACAGGGCTTGCCCCTGAACCTGAAAAGAACCTTAGATTTTTCGTCAAAAAATTATTTATTGGAGATAAATACAATAAATAAACAGTTGAATTTGCATTGGATTCCTAATAGAAGTAAAATTTCTCAGAGAAAGAACTTGATTGCATATTGAGACCGAAATCGAAATTCTTTGTACGCATTGGGGTTTTTTTGAACCCTCCATGTTCCTTCGTCGAAAAAATCCTCAATATCATAGGCAGTAATCTAGAAGCATATTGGAGCACTGTTCAAATTCATCACTTGGCGAAGTGTTACGATTAGATGTCGGAGGGCAATTGATGGTTAGCAACGTGCTGGGATATTCGACCGAGCGGATGAACAGCATGCTCAACCGAAAGTTGAAGCGTGTGAATCAATGTGGTATTGAATATGTGTGGTGGCACAGGTCCCGGGGTGTGTGCTTCATTTCAATGTTGTCAGAGAGCCGAGTGTTTCATGACGGAATACCATAACATACTGCTAAAACGATGAACGCCCCAATATATTCAGAAGTCATCAACGATTGTTCCTCACACTGAACCGACACGCACACCGATAAATGTCCATTTCCGCTTCTTAGAGATAAACCCACCCTCTGGACATAAAAGTCGAAAACAGCGAAGCAACAGCAAAATACCATACAAGCCATCACCAGATGGATGTATTAACGTTGTAGTTTTCTGGGTGCAGAAAATCAGTGTCACAGGAATAAAAACACATATGGGTGTTTCGATATTGCGATTCAATGTAATCACAATGCACTCATGACAACGTTGACGACGATATACTACGTGAATACCAAAATGTAATTATTAATGAGCACATAAAACAGAAACTGATAAAAATTGTTTTGGTAAATACTGTTTGTTTATGACGATTAAATAAAAAATACTCAAGAATACGTGTAAACCAACCATCTGAAATAAAACTAGCTGACGCGAACTGTTGTCGAATAGCAGCTTCGCAGTAGATAGGCAACTTCTCGTCCAGGTCTACTAATTCAGCGCTAAAATTTCATTTCAATGACTACATCAAGTTCTTGTTCTTGAGTAATTTAAGGGCACCATTTTTTGGCGAAAATTTCTACATTCTCAACATTATACAGAAGTGAAGTTCGACGAATTGGAGCTATGAGACAAACGTTTAAATACGAATAATAGAAGATCACTTACCTCGGCATCACGCCTATCATGTGCGCTGGATGCAAAGCGGATTGGGATGTATCCCTAACTACCGTAATCGGCACGCCCACTTTTCAGGCTAGCGTTAACATCGAGGATTTATTTGTCATTGAACCATGGAGGCGTGAGTTTTTAGCTGTTTATTGTGGCTTCTTCGTAAAATATATTAAGTGAGCTTTGTTTAAATGTGGTAATCAACTGTAGTAGTTGGCCCAGTGCATTCATTTGCTTAAGTGGTCGGTAAAACCATAGCGCACTGTAACGCATGAGTCTAGCGCATACATGGAATAAAAATCCGTAAGAAGTATCGAAAACGAATTTCCACTGAAGCAAGACCATTGCGTTTTTGGAATTTTCAAATCAGGCTTTATGGAAAAGATATCGGAATAATTTATAGAGACATTCGGAAAAGCTTGATAAGCAGCAATTTGCTGGTCGTTTTCGCTGATTAGAAGTTCATATCCAAAATTGATACTAAGCCTTAATCTCTGCAAATCAACTGGCCTTCTTTAAATCTGCTTAAATGAAGTGAAAGCAGTTGGTTTCAGAAAAATTAAGGACTTTTCTTTTCCTTGCTTCGTCCAAAAATTTACACATGGAGGGCGTAGAGGATGAATTAAGAGACTTAGGGATTCTCAGGCGCTTGTTACGACCTTTGTCTGGTCGGTGGTGGTGGCTGTGTGACTCACGGCTAGCTTCTCCTTTGCGCACACCGATGTCGAGTCACCCAGCCATTTCGTCGACCAGTGTCACTCCCGTAATGAAAAACATTACTATGTTCACACGTTATCTTGCGTCGTTTTTTTCCATTTGATAAAAAAGAACGAAATGTGTTTTAGCTGGATTTTTGGCACTCAAAGAAAGGAATGAAGAAGGACTGTGGAGCGATTACGAGATCATAAAAACAAGAGAAATAGCACTGATTATTACAGGTGAAAGTGGTATATGTCGGATACGTCTCCTTAACATCTAGTTCTTTATTCTTTAATAAAGCATCTCCGTGTCCGTACACTCTCCCAGTTTAAAGTTGAAATTTCGCATTCCTTTTTAGTTTGACGCTCTTTTCATTTTATTTGGTAGAAATCTAGACTAAAGGGACTGAAAGAGAGAAAGTAAGTAGCTCTAGCAAAAATTAAACGTACTGGTTCATAGTTCGACTCAATGTTACGGACATATCTTTAAAACAAGCCGCTGCTATCGATGAGGATCAGGTGAAATCATTCATTCCACCATTGCATAGAGAAGAGCTGGACTAAATGCAGAAAACAAAGAGCAATTTAATGGAAGCACTTCGAAACACCTTGAAACGTAATGCCATAGATTGTTACCTGCCAATGTATTCGACGGAAACTCAAGATATCTTCATTTTGAAATCTGTGCTGCGCCTCTTTCGTGCAGTGGAAGCGACCCAGTTATTAATCGATCTGTGATGTTCAACTAAAATTGGATTCTGAGTGAGTAATGACGATTTCACTCATATGGATAAAGAACCAAAACATTTCAAGAAGCCATGTATTTACTAGAGCTAGGTTGTGATGATTTTTTGAGCTCGATAATAAAATTTCCCCGCAGCGTCTCAATGGATGGAGTAATCAAAAATCACTGAGCGTAGGAGTACTGTCAGGAATTCAACATAATTTACCATTGAATGAAATGTTTGATATAAAGTATAAATCAGTAGAAAGGAATCAACTCTGTTGCACAGAAATCTGTGCTGCAGGTCCTACATACGACGCTTCCAAGGTTGTTAGAATAAAGGTACGTAAGTCTGTTCCAAGAATTGTATTCATCGGTGATATTGCTATGCGAGTATCATTTTTTCAAGCACTTTTGTACTTGCTGAAAAATTTTAGGCAACCGGTGCCGCTATAAAAGTCTTTGAGAGAAAGCAGAACATAGATGCCAAACATAAAACTTCACTGTAATAGAATACAGGGAAAACTTGTTCTCGTAAGTTAAAATGTGTGGATTCCAAACCCGTTAACAAAACCGTTAAAATTACGTCGAGCTGGACATGAAGATGATTGAAGTTGGTGGTTAAAAATGAGCATTTTTTTTAAACAATCAGTGTAGCGAACGATGCCTTCAATGTCACATGTATGGTCACGGATTTGATTTTTGTTCACCACACCTCCCTCCCACTAAAAGGTCGGCCAGCAGCTTTTGGCATATTCATCGGTGTTCGAAAGTCTTTGTGCTGACTAGGATTCATGTGCATTGTCTCATGAAATTTAAAGCTGAAACTCAAAATTTGGAGGCGAGCATTTTTATGTCCCATCAAGGTTATAAATTAGTAGTTAGTGCCTACCTTTGGTGCTCCCAGGTGACTTCTTACTCTTCCAATTCATGTAGAGTTCTTTAAATAAATCTACCCTGGTAGATGTACAAATTAGGTTTTCACTTTGTACCAAAGTCTGTTACCGATTGACAAACTACATAAGAGTGAGTCCTATAGATGCTGTTTATTGTTTTTCTATATTCTCTACTGTTCTCGATTCGATGAGATCACGAAGACCCACATCAGAAAACAAACAATTGCGGATATTCCAGTCTGATCAACCTGGCTCAGATGAAGGCTAAGGCGTCAGAACGTTAGCTGGAGAAGGTTTTCTTTTATTAATCTCATGTTAGGTTATCAAGGAAGTACCGCATATTGACTAGTCATACCGAGGTTGAAAGAAAGTCAGTTTTTCGAATACTTTACGTTTTATCGAACTATCCATTTTAGAATACTATGAGGAACTAATGTGCTGTGATTAAAACAGACGACAGTATTCGTGTTGTTTGTCAAACTGTCACCTGAAAACGCAGAAATTCGTAGTCACATTGTATGTTCCTTCAGTTAGAGAGTGTTTTGCCAACGAAAAAATGTGAAATAAAGTGTTTCTTCTTCTCTTCATTTTGCATATCTGGTCTTCGCACTACAGTGGAGATCCCAGCATTTCTTGGACTCGATCCCTTTTTTCGCATCCGTCATCCGCAGAAGTGTTCCAACTCTTGTGAATTGACTCCTGCACTTGAGGATTTCCTTTCCTCATGAATGCCGTTGAATGCTGGTCGTGTCGATCCACCCTGGAATCCGCATGTAACTGGTCTCGAGCGTTCCCACTTTGATTGCAGGAAGTGAACGCCTTCCAGTTAAGTCTAATACCAATTTCTCGATCTTGGGAAGATAAGAAGTTTGGTGAACTGGGTCAGACCTGTGCCGTGCTCGTGGTGAATTCCTTCACTGGTACTGCACTGCCGCTCCTTCTGTGGAAGTACAATATTCCCAAGAACATAGCACATATAACTCGAGCGCTCTTTTTCCTTAGTCTTATTTTAAATGGACTAGAGCCTATGATTTTTTTGTCAGTGACGTTTTTCTGAAAGTAATCAGGGTGGTTGTTGATTCCTATTCCACAATTGCAATTGTGGCATGCTTTCTTGTACCCCGTTCAATGTCATCGTCATTGCATTTTATTTCTTTTGAATTAAGTCAAAAAAAGATAGCGAATAACTTAAAAGCTAAGATCATTTGATAGTTTTAAGTACATACCAATGGTCTGGGAAACTTTTTCATTATGTAAAATTTTCGTGCTGCCTCACTTTTCATTACACCATTGTCGAGGAAAGTTGTTCAGCAACCTCACTGCTACTATTTGAAAGCACCACAGTGTCACCGTTTATAAATAAATGTTCGTTCAGGCATACCGTCAAAGACTTATCGAAAGGTGCTCGATTTTTTGATGCTGTTTAAAAAAAATTCCTTGTTATACGTCCAAATAAGTTGGAGTTGAAGACTCCTTTTCATAACCAATTGCACACTGCATAACCCTAGTTAGTGATTGAAAACGAAGGAATAAGAATGTGATTGTTTATCTAATCAAATCTGCCCGCATAGAAACCGATACTTTTCATCTGCGATATTTCAATCTGTTCTGTTCTATGAAATTTCTCTTGGTGGTAGATTCTGTTCTTTGAGTGGCACATAGTTAAGAATCTCCTTTTCTTTCCTTTTGCCAAAGATTTCCACTATAAGTTTACCCTATTATTTACTGCCTGCTTTTTTTAATAATAAAGTATGCTGAAAAATATAACTCCATTGATGGTGAGATATTTGCAGAACTCCGGACCACACGTGCATGCGGTGGGGACGAACGCGCTATACCTTTTGCAGGGACTAATGCATTCACCACCACACCATGCGGGTCTTTCGTGTCGCCTGTCTCTCAGCTATTTCTGTCGATCAGCCTCATCAAAAATCACGCGTCAACGAGATAAATCTAGGAATTCCAAATCCGCAATGAACCTAGTTAATCTGAAGTTTTAGTTGTAATCACAATTTCAACATGCATGGTGTGCTGGTAAACGCGTTAGCCCCCTGAAAACGTAATAGAACGTTCGTTCCTCACCGCAAACACTTGCGGTTCAGAGTTTTGCAAGTATCTTAGAGTCATTAAAATTTCCATTATAAATGCGTCGATTTCTTGTTCAGCAGTCGGGAGGTTGTTATACAGCGTACACCTACTTCCATACAAAAACACACAGTACGACAGTAGCTGATGTTTCGGCAGTATCGCCTTCCTCAGAGCCTGGAAAGGTACAATGGCATGCAGTTTAATAAAACAAATGCTTCCATAACACATACAGATAGACGAAAATCTATATGGTAATTACATGATCAACACCTCGAAAGAAACCCAATTTCCATTATGTCGATATTTAGGAATTTGTTGAACTCTTAAAGAGTTATGCTCACAAATTTTAAGACATCACCAGTGCTTCGCTTTAAAGGACGAGGGCTAAAACGTTTGGCGACATGCAGTGATGAAACTTATGCGACAATGTGTCGCACTGTTGAGTTCATATTTCTGTGAGAGGGATGAGTTCAGCGGAAGAGTTCAACGTCGTGGAACGGTAACGACAGCCGAAATCACAATGTTAGCATATTATTTTTTAACTCTTACTAGTTCTTCGCTGCAGGGTATGATGTAAAATGCAACAACTATGATATTGAGGTATTTCCAAAACTTGGATCGCAAACCTGATTCAAGCTCCGGAACATCTAGTCAAGGTAATCTCGGGTTGGAATCTGGTCTGGGGTCCGAGTTTTGCAAATAACTTAACATCATAGTAGCTCTATTCCACACCATACTCTGCCGTGAAAAAAATTATAACAGCCAGCAAATAATAAGTTAACCTGTGATTCCGACTACAGCCTCAGGTTAGCTGGTTTTAATGACGAGCGTACTGCCCAAATCATTCCCGTTAATGAATATTGCTGATGGCATTGTCAGCTAGAAAACTAGTTGAAAGAAAAGCAAAGTGAGAGCATAAGTGGTGCAGGGGTAAAGCCCTAGAAAGGGTAAATGTCGGTTCGAATCAGGTCTACGGTCCAAGTTTTACAAATATCTCAGCGTCATAGTTACGACAGACGTCGGGTAATCGGGGACATCAAGTGTGCGTTCACAACTCAGTTGACAAGCGTCGACAAGATGGCATTTGCTTCTACGCTTTTTCTACACAGCGTTTTCTTACTCCACGAAAGATGGAAACTGATAGACACTGTTGACCTTTTATTTATTTATACGATCTTATAAATTGATCTTCTTAAGCTGACGCGAGAGCGGTATAGGTCTTCGTTGTCGTTGTCGCTGTTTTTGATGTTGTTGGTCGATGGCTGAAGTTTCTGTTGACGTTATTTTTTGACGGTCGGTCTAAAAAATGTAAGTTCACTATATGCTAGCTAGTATAATCTAGAGTGCTACAAGACGCTTTACCTGAGCAAAATAGGTTATATTGGAGTCGGCACTGGGTCAACACTCGTTCTGGATAAAAGGTCAGCCCTGAATGAAGTGAACCATGTGGGCTGTGTCTCTTCTACTGAATTCGACTCGATGCGACATCTAACAACCATAGCCTGGTAGTGACTAGTTGTGAACTATCGACTCCTACCCACGCCGCTCTAAGGAAGGCGAAGCCGTCGAAAGGTTAGCCGGATAAAAGTTTTTTCAGTCAGCCTTGTGTTACCTTGTCAATGAGATAATGCATATTGATCTTAATGATAATTCGGAAAGAGCCAGCAGGCTTGCCTGTGACAACCTCGCTCTCTCCAATCCAAGTAGGAATGCTGTAGCGCCTATGCTATGGTTGCAGAAACTATCGACGCGACCGGCATTTAACGACATTCGTGACGAAGACGAAAATCTCCCTATGTAGCAATCGAAGCCAGGCGTAAAAAGTTCGAAGACCTTCGTGGATTAAGGATATAAAAAACAGATCGAATGCAATAACTTGATCCGCACAGCAGATGTGTTCATGTAATAGTGATAACAAATGCTGTGGAAGCTTTGTAGATACTTTGGTGGTTACGCCGTGAACAATTGTAATTGATGTGTACATAATAGACGTTTTCTCCCCCAGATCTCAACAGCTATTGTAAAGCGTAGATATGAACTCGTTGTTTTGGACGATTGTATGCTAAATGAAATATGTTCATTTTTTAGAGAAAATTCTAAGGATTACGTATACAGAAGTGTGATGTTTGCTTGTGTTTGGAAATCATCAATGATATTTATGAGCCGAATCATGAGTACACCTACTAATAGACAATATATCAAGCAATATTCATAAACAAATAATGACTGAGATGGAAACATAACGATAAAGAGATGAAAAGGTGAGAAGAAATAGTGAGGGGAGATAACTGGCAGTAAGAAAGTATGATGGCACAAAATAGAGCGAACGGAATGTGCTACGCTTACTGAGGGATAAAAATAGGCTCACATAAACTGAAATCATGGGGTAGATAAAACTCGTACTCATTAAGTACAGTAGTCTGGCGGTGATCTTTATTGGTCAACGAAATTAGAGGAATTAAGTGAAATTGGCAGCACAATAGTCGAATGCGTCTTCCTAAAACTAATGAGTATTAAATAGTCGTTTCGTATTTTAGACTAACTTTGCCACTACACATACGGTATTAATTGTCGCGTCTAAAATACAGACTCGGAAGATCCGCAACATATGACACAAGCTCCGTTTACATGGAAGAAACACAAGGAAGAATAAAGTTGGCAACATGAAATTAATGTTTAGTGGAAATGAACAGTTTGCACCGTGAAATAGAAACCGAACTGCGTTGGCCGCTAATGGAAGTGATTTACATAAAAATGACTCTTTTAAATGGCTCTACTCGCTAAAATTATCGAGAATAAGTCAAACAACGGCCCAGCGTCCCTCATCGTCCGACTCGGAATCACTAAGAGGAATGGAACCAGACTGCGCTTGTATGATTCTTGTACGAGGACCATTTTCGTGAGTATAAACAACTGAAGGGTATCTTGACGTTGAAAAACGATTGGATCCATGATAAATCTAAACAACAACAATTTGAAGACTTGAGACTAACTTCTTGGAAAAATGAAAGACATAAGGATCTCTCAGCATTTGATGTAAGGTCTGCTTTAAAACAAATTAGTGTGAGACTAACAAACACCTCGAATAGCTAACATCACGATTTACTCTCATTATTCGATCGAAACGCGAACTTAGTAAGTGAAGGTCGCACGTCAAGTTTTAGATATGGAAAATGCGAACCTTATCTACATATGAACGCAATTGTAAGCACACGCAAACAGCGCTTTCTCTCACATTATCCACTATTCGCGTGAAATTTTAAAACTAAAAAAGTGATTTCGACATACATCGTTTCCTGCAGGACTGGGTGATGGAATATTATAATAATTTTCTTTAGACGTGTAGTAATCTTGGTGTGTTGAAATTGGCGAAATAGCTGAAGGAGGACGATATGGTGGAGATGCAAATTGACCTGTAGAGGAATGTGATGCAGTTGGTGGAGAGCCACAATGGGAAGGAAAAATATGAAACGATAGGCAGGACGAGTGCTAACAGTACAAAAATAGTAATTACCTGTGTAAGATGGAGAGTTGAACGGAGGAGATCTTATATTACGAACAGGTGGAATCGAACCAACCAAGGGAAGGCGACGTTGTCGCACGGAGCTTGGTACGGTTTCCTCGTCATCAGTCACCTCCGAGAGTGTCGGATCTAAAATATCCTAGACAAATAACGTTCTCTGACGTAGATAGCTATTTGTATTCTGCGGATTGAATGTAGAAAAGTGCTCGATACAAAAATTGCTCATATACTTAGAAGAATGCTGTCTTTACAGCAAATTTTTCTTGTATTTGGTTCATTAAGAATTCATTCGTGAGCAATACAAGCCAAGATTTATTTTGCTGACCGCTATAGTACATGAGAAGTCGAGAAATACACAGATTTATAAAAGAAAAAATGGTCTGTCAACCTAACCCTGGATAAAAAATTTGAAGTGTTCTTTCAATTTTAAAGTTGTCTAGATTTATAATGGCAAATAATTGAAAATAGCTTTTAATAACCTCTACTTCTTCACTGATAAGGTAACATAAGGCTGATATCAAGCTTAATTCGGATCACGTTGAATGTCCTCCTCGTCTTCGCTAGTGCCGTCATGACGCCTTGATTTTATTGCAACTTTCGACTTTTAAACTTTTTATTTTATTAAATCCGGGTGGTGAATAAACGCAGCAGCATCAACAACGATATGGTGAACACCTCCGTGTCACGCTTCATGAAATCCTGCTTTTTACCTTGCCGTCTGCGCGAAGTACAAATCTTAACTCATGTAAGTAAAGGACAAACATCTCATGGGATCTAGAAAAATAGAGTTTCTTTTGGCAGAATAAGAAAACTTGCACCTTGCAGGAAAAGACTAGAAATTCGAGTGGTTTTTATTGCTATATATAAACTTTAGATGTGGCGGTTTGATGCTGGAAGCGGTTACTGTTTTAGTACAGGATGCATGAAAATCAACGTATTTCGCTTGTTAAATGTTAACATAGCGTAATGGTGTCATAATCCACCATACAAATGAATTCATCACTTTGGCAGCAAGATATACCAGCAACTGCTTAAAAGCGCTTATTCTAATAAGATTTCCAAAAGGTTCAGTCACAATGTGGAAGATGTGAAATAGGGAGCAAAAACACGTCAAGAGATGAAGAGGCGTTTGCATGACTTTCACACTTACCCTGATACCTGGAATATCCATGCCTTCTACAACTGCTTGTTACGCTATCATCAGAGAACGGACTCCTCGAATACTGCTGAGGATATGAGGTGTGGTCATCGTGATGTCCATGAGAGTAGTAAAGCAGAGCGGGACGTGATCGGCGAAGACTAGGATCACGCAAAGACATGGCGTAATCGGAGGTTGATAGCGGAGAAACTGAATTGCACATACTAGAGTTATGTTCTAAAATACTCTAAATTAAAAATGAGGAAGGGAATAGCGTCGTGTTAGTGGTCTTGCTCATTGCGAGGACGGCCCAACCCACGCAGGTTCTACCCAATCCTCGAGCCCACCAAGCTTCTCATTCCACTGGGGTAGAGAACTTGATAACAGACTTGTCTAGAACAAACCGACTTCCTTTCACCAGCGTGGATCTGAGGGAAAATCGACCATACAAGCATTCAGCGACATTTATGAAGAAGAGAAAATTCTTAATCAACAGTCGAAACCTAACACAAAAGTTCGAATATCTTTGTAGATAGTGGATGAGAAAAGAACAATCGAATTCAAGAGGTTTTGAAAATACAATGTGATACGCGCGATTTCGGGTTGCATAGCAAAAAAATAATTAACTTATCCTTTAGATGTGGGATATCCTTAGGATATCCTTTATCCTAGCTGAGAGACAGGCAAAGCGAAGAACCCGGATGGTGTGGTGGTGAAGTGCGCTACTCCCCGGTAAGGACAATAGCGCTCGTTCGTTCCCCACCGCATTCACCTGCGGTCCGGAGTTTTGCAAATATCTCAGCATTATATACGAGTTATATTTCGCAACAAGCCCTGCCATTGAAAAGAAAAAAACAGTAAATAAAAGGGTTAAGATTATCCTTTAGATGATTGTGCCGAATACAGGACTTCTTGTATTCGATTTATTTCTTTGCATTAATCATCCACGAACGTCTACCAACTTTTTACGTATGTTTTTGCCTTCGGCTCAAGGATTTCGTCTTTTTTATGAGAATGGTAAAATGTTGTTGGTCGAGTCGATTCTGCTTGTAAACTTGGAGATGGTCGAGCGAAGGCATACCCGCGTGGATTGGAGGAGGGCGTTTGTAGGGAGTCGTACCAGAACCTTTAAGGAAATAACAAGAAATTAAACAAACCGAAGTCATTTTAAATAAATTGTTGTTGCATAAACACATGATAGTGATAGGGATAGTTTCAAGAAGAAGCTCCTGTTGGCATAATAGTCTGGAAACTCTCGAGTTGAATGTGTTGTAAAAATAGGGTATGTCGCTTCTGCCTGCCACCTGCGAAGCTTTGCAACCAAAGAGGCCCACACGCTTTTAGATCTAGGAAATTATTGAAAGTGGAGGGATAGGACTGAATCTCACTTAAAAGTAGGAGTAATTTTCAACAAAACACATGACTGGATTAAGTCATGCAAGAGCACTTTCGTATACAAGATCGGGGATAAGCCAAGGCTATAATAAATCATCATACGAAAACTTTTCAAGAAATTATTCGATTTACACAAAGCCAACGACGAACATGATATTTACCTCCCGATTATCTAGAATATTGAACCAAGTAGTAAAAGAATATATAGTACATTCGGATAGGCAAAAAAGCTAAACCAGTTGAAAGGTTGAGAGGCAACTCTTTGGATTACTATGTTATATTGTAATTTAGAAATCTTAGAAGACCTCACTTGATCTGAAGCGTGACGGGTACCGCTCAGTTAAGCTAGGAGGACCGACTTCTTGTCCACGAAGGCCAGAGTATCGAGGTGAAGGAGTTCTCGAGCGCTGCGATGGCAGCAGCTGTTCCGTCTTAACACGAAATTCTTGCTTGATAATGATAAAAACACTTTAAGTTTTAAGTTTTTGAGGACCACAAGATGAGATCGTAACGAATAATATAAATAGAACTCGAAATAAATAGAACTATTTCCTGTGGCCAACATTGCACCAGCAATGACATTGAGCAATAAATTATCACGCTCATGATGAGCTGACATGATACTATTAATATAACGTTTATTCCACAACGACTAGGGCTTAGACAAATTTCATCTTCTTCAGAGGAATGTAAATAGCTATACTAATAACCACTTAATCAAAAAATTTTTCAAGGCTTATGAAAAAAACCCAAATTCTAGAGTCCAATCATAGGATAGCATAAAAAGTTTCGTTTACTTCTTCCACTTTCACGGTGTAGGCAGATATGCCTGCCCAAGCTCAAAAAAGCTTCTGTCCTACGCGAGCCGTGGTTGATTTCTCAGTTTCCAAATCCTAGTACGTGAATGAACGCCCGAAAAGCTTTCAGTGTTTTAGATCAAACCCATAAACCCGGAAACGAAAAGAGACGAATACTCCATAATCAAATATGGCATGAACTCGTACATGGTGATTCTTTTTTAGCGGAAGCGGGCACATTCATAACCCTACATCATTTCCGCGCGGGAGGTCCCATCTGCGGCAAAAAGAAGGAAAAAATGGACGAAAAGATATGATGGATGTTTGCGAAGCTGTGCACCGAATTTTTTTTTATTACACGATCCGACATCACATATAGGTATTCCAGGATTTCCTGAATTCAATTCGTTTCCTCGCAACCACCAATCACGACGATCGTTGAATTTTTGCATGTGGGATTAGCTTCCTTGAGGATATTTGGTCTTCTCTATGAATCACTGATCTTCCGGTCTAGTTGGCTCTCCTTGAAATCCTAAGATAGTCGTGTAAGGGTATCCGACTGTGCGCTGGACGCAATGAGCTGGTAGCAGACAGATCTGCTATTGGCTTCTTGATCCCGGATGGACGAGAAAGTTGACTGGCCTAGAGCGTGAGAAAACCAGCGCCTGTTTTGGTTCGGCGTTACTGACGATGAATGACATAATTACCAGGAAGGCGTTAATCCCTCCTAAAGTACTACTGGAATTGGGGATTCGGATTTCTCGTCCGGTTTGAGAAAAGTGTTTTAACCGATAAGAATTCCTGCTGATATGGACCTCAATAGGCTTTGAATTAGTTTAAATCTTCTGCAACGTTTGTTATAGCAGAATAAATGTCATTTTTACCATCCTGTCTCAGCTTATCAGAATATAGCAAATTACAAGTGGAAAGTATTAGAAATATGTCGCACGCCTTTTAATTACCAACCCGATTCCAAACCGGTGAGTTTAATAATTTTTGAAGATTACACCTTTATTAATTATGAGCTACTAAGATATTTGACCAAACCCTAACACCAAAATTAGCTGCTTTCAATAACACTATGGAAGAAAAGTAGCCCTAAATGCAAACTACTTAACATGTTTCAGCCATTCGATCTTAGGGGTACAGAAAAAATTGAAATTTCGTAACAGTGGTGGGATTTGGAAAGAGTGTGCTATCACATCATAGGTCGTCTAGATATTATTTCCATGAGACCCTACTCACTAAAACGCAAAAATGGGATACTTAACGCTTTCAACTTTTTTATTCAGCACATTTACTCTTGCGTATACAAAAAGCAATTATCATTAGCGTTAAAACTTCTAAATGTTGCTGGCTTCACTAAATATGACCTATTGATATAAAAACTTTGCATTGCAAAGTATTCAAAAATCCAGAAGAATGGTCTGATGTGTTATATGTGTACTGCAACATAACGAGTGGTAAAACTGAAAAGCACGAGTTAAAAATAAGCACATGCACAATCATTGAATGGATATATTTTTAAAAACTACAGGGGAAAGCGTGCTGAATGAGACACACGATGTAGTTCTAAGCGTACCTCGTCGTATTGTGATGACCTCTCACGATGGTAGTTGAAGCGTGGTATATACTGCTAGAAATGAAACCGCATATGTCGGTGTGCACCGATAGTTGGTAGTTTTACTTTACATTTTTCAAACAAAACTTGTCACCTCTGCTTCGCTTGCCCTCAACTTCCTCTCGCCCTTTCCCTCTCCATCTTTTAAATCCTTCTACTCTTCGACATAAAGTCTTTTAACTTAAAAACAGCCTCTGCACAGTACGTTTAAAAAAATAGATACAGACAGAAAGTGAAGCAAAGGTGGACGCATACGTGCATGAAGAGAACCAAAAATGAGGACACTGTAAGTAATACAAGTTAAGGACGAACCTGAGGAGGGTCATGTGCTACGGCACCAGCACCACGACGTATACGAGAAAACATGTCCGAAATTCGTCTACCAGTTGTTGTCGGTTTCGATCTGGAAGAGGGATTTTTCATTTTTTTCGTAACTGCTTCACATGTGAGGAAACACTGAATCAAAGGTAAACATCGTCACCACAAAGAATTGAAATTGGCTCAAGATAGAAGTGCATGAAATTGCAAAGTAATGTGAACGGTAAATGGAGTTGTGAGGATAAAGAATAATATTAAAGTAAATGCTTTGAGTGAAACATTGGGCAAACCTTAACACTTAGAATTCATCGCTCAACTTGGCGTTGCACACCCTGTGAATTGGAAACAATTCACGTCGGCCAAGCCTCCATGTACGAATCATATACACACACATTATTAGTAACGGTCTACGTGCTACTCTTTTGGTAGAAAGAAAAATGAAACGACGTACGACATAGAGCCAAGGTACTGAAAGTAAAGTGAATACTTTCGTCACCTGTGTGATAGTCTTTCTCTGTGGCTTGAAAAACAGACTCGTTGAAAAAGCAGTTATTTAAATACCATTAAGTTCAGAGAGGGGCTTTTCTAGACCATGTTCTAGCATATTTGTGTTGAATAAGTAATCAAACCGATATAAGCAGAGCGGCAGACAAAAGAGCGGCAAAATAACCGCTACACAAAAAAAACGTTTCTTGCAAATAATGCGGATACGGTCGTTCTGCCTACTTACTTAGTTGGATACTTGGACAGCTCGCCCTCAATGGTTATGCAGGTTCCAGCACGTTCTCCATTTATGGGAGTTTAGCTGGTTTAGGCATTATAGTTCTCTGGATTCCGAGGTCGGCCCGACCAAAATCTGCCCCAGGTCTTCACCACCACAGGCTATCGCTGCCCATGTGGATCAGAGGAAGATCTACCACCATGCGATTGGTTCGATACTAGGATAGTGGTGGATCATGCTATTGCTTTACTCTTAGCTGGGCTTCCTGATGGAAGCGCCAGACTCCTTTTTAACTTGGGAGACCTTGCCGGATGCATGAGTCCCTCCGCTGTACATCGCAGCACGACACTAATTAACACCTTCCAGCCACGATGAGGCGGTAAGCCGTTGAGAGGATCTGTTTTTATATGTGATTAAAAATCAGCTCATATACGACTCAGTTTTTAGATAGAATGGATTGTTTTTTTGATATATTCTTGAGTTAACACGAGGTTATTACCAAAAATGCTTTATCGTGGATAAGGTTTTTGGTGTCTTCATCATCTTCAAAGTCACACTGATTCGAATTGGATGTCCTTAGCACTAATGTTCCTTGAAATGTGGATATTCGTTATCGTATGGAGTTAAATCGAAGAAAAACAATGCGGTTTTGTTATCAATTCAATAAGATATTGACTACTTAAACCGTGATAAAATGAAAGTCGATCTTCAAAAAAAAAAGAAAAAATGGAAAGCGTTTTGCGCTAAGGTGAAGAAAGCAAGGAAAACTGCCTAAACTGCTGATGGAACGAAATAGACTACGAGTGAGAGAAGTGCATAAAAGATAATGTTGCTTACATGACCAACAAAATTCTTAATCCAAAGGTGAAGACTGCATCATATGGGGATCAGCCAGCGCACTAATCTTTTCGGATAAGTGGATTATGCAGTGCACTGACGCGTATGTTATCAAAAAAACTTTTACTTACTCATGTTGCGACGAATACATTAATGGAGTCTGTTGTTCGTCTTCGGTAGTTTTGTTTGACTTTGCTGAATCCACCAGAGATGTGTAAAAGGTGTGCGGACGCTTAAATAAAAGAAGTGTATTCCCTAGTAGAATCAGTGGTTAACTACATAAGAAAAGGTGCTCTAGTGATAACACTTTTTTTAGTCACACTGAAAAAAAATCGAAACCGGCAAGTCAGTTCAAAGTATGCCTATTGATCGTAAACATCTGCTATCAATACCTAATTGATTAGGTCACATCAACGAGGTTACTCAGCGCAGATCGTCTACTTCAAAAAAAAGTGAGTTCTTGTAGATAAGAAACATAAGCAAATTGTGGAAGCTAACAGTTCGTAAGGAAATCGTACCGGAGTTGCCATTTTATTCTCATGCGGTGTGGTGTGATTCGGAATCACTTGTGTACTCTCATCCACCTGAGGCGTGGCCATGTGATTAACATTGCCTGCCGCTTTTGCAGCTGCTACCAGGCCACGAAGGCCACCACCGAATAAGCCGCCGCCAATCTGCAACAGCGAGAGAATAGTAATACTGAAAAGCCCCTCATTACATGTTTGGATAGCACAACAAAAAAAATCGATGAGGGAAAGGTCTAAGGGAAGGAAGGTAAAAAAGATGGCTGCATTCGGAGCCGGCAAAGCAAATGAAGGTGAGCGAAGAAAAAATAAACAAAAGCAACGCATAAATATCGAATAAGTTCCCATCTATCACACAGTTAGTCATTGTTTATATTTTGAATGAACAACTCTGTTCCATTTCGCTTTCGATTCAACTTGAAACGCCGTCACTGTGCAACACAGTAAGAAAATGCATTGATTCAGTCCATTGTTGCTGCAGCAACCTGTTGTTGCTCGTCGACTTGTTGCTGTTGATGCTGCAGCTGTTGTTGGTGCTCGTTTTGTTCTGCACTCTCAGACGAATCTGCCCATTTGAACATGGCGTTGCGCCGTCGGAGTAGTATTAGAGCTGTGCGCTCACGTTTACGTAATTCCAGCTAAACTTTAGCGATTCTATTTTCGATTTTTGTAGTAAGTAAACGTTATTCCACAACCGTGCTCCAGAAGCATTTCATGCCTGAAGTTCGGTGTGGTTTCGACCACCTATTGGCTGCTTCCACTGTGTCAATGGATGGCCGAAGGATGTTACCATGCTGATTTTAACGTTCAAAAGAATGCTATTGAGAAGCTTTAGCAGGACGGTAATTCAAGAATAAGATTTGCGTTCTTGAATAAGACACTGTAACCTGACAGAATCATCACTTTGTCATTTAGAAACAATTCCTGCATTTTTGGCAAAAGAAAAAATTGATAAATATGAAAACATCTTAGTTGAATGTTCCAACCTCTGTTCCACTCTTCTTCGCTCGATAATTTTCGAGAATTAGCAGACCCGCGTAGATTTTCCCTACAGTCAGTTTTTGAAAACAGAGCTCTAAAAAACGGATTTTTGCTCGAACCGTGGTTTTCATGAGATTTAAACTGCTTAGAGCAGAAACAGATAACATAACTTCACTACTATTTTGACAGTGTGAAAATATCCAAGCAAGTTACATACAAACAAATAAAAAACTTCGTATTCACAAACTTTTTACACCAGAAAACGTCAAATTTTAGAACACTATAGGGCAACATAACTTCACATGTTTGTTTTCCATAGATGGATAAAGGATAATGCTCTCGGCGTTGATCAATCCCAGTAGGATGAGCTGTGCATTCGACTTCATTAACTATCGTTGGAAGTGATTGAATGCATATCTGGCCTTTACAATGACTCGCGGTAGCCTACCGATGTATCGAGCCAGTGCTGCTAACCCCCCAGACAAGTTTGGTACCAATTTGCAGACCTCGGAGGTTTGAAAGGCTTGGTAAGCCAAGGACGCGAGGATCGATCACATGTGCGCCGCAGGACGTCTCTGACCACTGCGCTACACGCGCCCTTATTTGTTTTCCATATGAGTAGCAATATTTCTAACACAAGTTTTACGTACTAAGTCCTGTTCTGCACGGTATTTATAGAAGGAATGGCAAAAGAGAGCGCTAAATTGAGCTTGTAATATAAAGAAGAAGCTTAAAATAACTTTGGAAAGATTTGCCGAACAATACATTACGTAAAAATACCATGGTTTGGAGGTACCACTAGATCAATCATGTTCTTCTTCGCTTTAAGTGGCCAAATCTTTTTCAGTGTTTGTCTTAGCTCTTCATCTGCTTCATCCATTTCTTCAACTAAAAAACAGCATGACTTTTTATGCTGGAAACACACAGCAAGTTGAAATAATGTTTTCCAGTAAATAATAGATAGGGTCAGAAATCTAGGACCATTGTTGCCTGTTCAACTTCGTTCTGTTCAGTGGTAGATGCTTCAATAAAGTTCCTAGATAAGAAGCAAAAAATTCTATAGGTCAAAATATCTCTTGATTTTATCCGAGTCATCCGAGGTGCCTCGGTGAACTAGTACTATGAACAGAAAAAAATCCATAAACAGGTTTTGCGCAACTCACATGAAACAGTTCCACTTTGCGTTAGATATTTAGAGAAACATGAAATCCTTTTGTTAAATAAGCCAACAATTAATAGAAGAAAACTATACCAGGTCGCATTTTGATACTAAGACTTTCTCGAATGAGAGCGAATAGGGTTGTGGTGAAATGCACGGTGCCATCTTCAGCCACTGGCATGTTCATGCGGACGAGATGCTTGTATGCAAGTCGATAGGGACATTTCCGACCGAATCCGACCGGTGGGGTGATGTTTCGTAGCATGTCATACATGTCCGTGTAGTGAATCCGCCCACTAAACTGACAACTTCTTGCTCAATAGGTAGAGGTAAGTAGACGATCGATAGATAATTATTAACCGCGTTCAACTTGTTCATTGATTAAACTGTCAAAGTTATAAACTCCGTTATCGCAATTCTAAGCAATCTGAATGCTCTGGTCACTGTTTACCATACAATTTAAGTGAAGTATTGTTTAACTTCCGCGACGGTTCGCAACCTCGTCGTGACTATCTATTTTTTTTCTATTTTTTTTGTGTCAACCTTTAATGTATAGCACAGAGTTTACCCCCTCCCCAGAATGAGGACCGGTGGCCACTTATACTGAGGGCTTCATAAAACCCTAGAACGGCACTACAAGGTGTAGAAATTTTGTCGAACCAGGAAATTACCCACCAAATGGAAACTGTGTTTGAGTCTGAACGACTTTTTGGAGACATGAGCTATTCGACTAGTCCAAGTGTGGTACTAATAACTGATTTGTAAAAACTTAGATCGTAAGAATTTCTGCTGCTACGCCAACTAGAAGCTATTTAAGTAGCTACAGAGCCATGCTTTACCATATAAAGATACTCTCTCATTTCCAACCAAAGAAGAAGTGAAAAAGTAGCACTCACGTCGCTGCTGGGTCATAATCGGCCCAAACACGAATAAATTCGTCTAGATGATGAGGACCGAGAATCGATGAGTCCCTAGTTAGGTAGTCGAAATTATCCATAATTACGGCAACGAAAAGATTCAGCATCTGGATGGAAAAGAGGTGCCACATAAGGAAATGTAAATGTTAAGAGCAGTCGATAAATATTTGGAAAGATGTATGGTAACACTGTTGTGAATTTCACCGGTCCGTATTTATAATTCAGTCAACTCATTCTTATATGAAACTCGACCCCATCTATTAAGTGTGAATCTGTGCTGCGCGTACCTAGGTAATAGACGAGGGGTTTAATGCGAACCAAACCGAGCATGTAATTTTTGTGAAAAGCTGGCGGACCTTTACAACTTTCGTGTACGTATAGAACTTCCACACATTTATACGATGGTGTGTTTACGTGTTTACAGAACCTACTATGCACGTTGCTTCGACAAAAAGCTTACAATCAAGTGATTAGGAAGCAACGGAGGCTACTCTCAGTCTTCTCTAATAAATAGGTCTTATGCCTAGACCAAGAAGCTACGAGAAGTTCATTGTAAGTACGTAAGCCTAGCATCATAACAAAGCCGGTAAGCCAGACATGGGTACTCTTTGCTCAATACAGTGAAAATCGGAGTCCAACGAAAAGTTTCGGGACGGCTCCCAGATGAATGGAGACTTTGCCGGTGACCATTCAAGTCATTCGATTGCTGCTGTGATTGTAGTGACAAATGCATATCTATAATGCAAACCAACCAAAAATGACGAGAGGAACACAAATGACGTAAAGTACGCGTAACTGACGTTGCTACCACATGTCTGGCCCTAAAGTAGTGAAGATAACTGCTGAACAGATCGAAGTGTAATTCACTATAGCGGAACCAAATAAGCGTGAAACTATTTAACCTTATCGTAATTGATTTCATCAGATCCAGCACGTGCACAGTCTTTTTGTGCACCACACGCCATCATGATATCCTGCCAACCTTCTCCAGTGGCACATCTGTTACAAATACAAATATACATGAAGAAAACATGTTGTAAAATACGAACCGAAAAAGAAGTATCACAGAATTGAAGAATGACTGAAAATTGTTGTGCCGATTGATTTCGGTGGCAGCGTTCAGCCATATATTACCAAAGACCTGAAAAATCTAATAGTAAATTGCTGATCTAATTGTTAATGAATGATTAGTGGCTCATATATATAAATATATAAAACATATAAAATACATGCCAAGAAATGAACTTTCTTAGAAAATGTGAGATTTGTTGTAAGTTACCATACCTGCATACCTACGATCGCGTAAATGAAGAATAGCATGCCGATCAACAAACAGACGTAAGGAAGCGCCTAAAGATGAATGCAACAACAAAAAAATACTGATAACCATAATGTTGCTGAGATGTTTGCAAAACTCCGGATCGCTGGTGTCTGTGGTGGAGACCGAACACGCTATTACCCTTTCCGGGAACCAACACGTTCATCACCACACCATGCGAGTCCATCGTTTCGCCTTTATTTCAGCCGTGCTATTGAATTATTAGTAAATTTATCTATTGATGTTCTTCAATACGCACCTTGAAACTCTGCACGAACGTCCACAAAAGAATGCGAATGGTGTAACCTTGCTGCAGAAGACGGATCAATCTAGCGGCCCGAAACAGTCGAAGAAAACCGAGAGAAACGAAATGTCCTGCATTGAATTACTTCTTATAGATATATAACATAGCAACTGCTGTGGAACTTCTAGTATACAAGGATCCAAGAGCACAAATTTAACATCAAGCTTTTATTCGAATATTTTGAAACTGGAGAAGTTGGAGATGCAAGATAAAGGTTAAGAAAGAAAAGGATGAGTTAGTCCACCTCTCAGCCCTAAAATACGACACTATGTTGAAACTAACCTCCAAACTCAGTTACCAACGCATCAGTTATTGAACCAACCACTGTGACAAAATCAAATCTATTCCATCCATCGCGAAAATAGTTCTGAAAAATAAAGGACCCTTTGCTAGCATGCTTTCTTTAATATCGAGTGAAAATGATCTACTTGATACTTACCCTAACTCCAAATGCGAGGATTTTTAGAATACTTTCAACGGTGAACACAGCTGTGAGAGCAGTATTGAATAATCTTAGAATGAATTTGGTAGTGAGATCAGCAAGTAGCCAACGTTGCACTGCAGTAATTGCAAACCAACCTTAGAACTTTTTCGTAGAAATCGGAATTTCCATGGAATTTCATCATGAGTATAATAGTGTTGCAACAAATCATTGCCATGATGAAATACTCGAATGGCGCTGAAGTGACAAGCCTCCAGATGCGATACTTAATGGAATTCTTGTCTTCTGGCATGAATAGTGAACGTGGTCGAGCATTCAGTGCAAAGTCTATGCACTGCTTCTAGAAAGGTATTTGTTAGATCATACGTGTGATACCCCCTAGATTTCCTTTATATAAATTTAAATTAATAGCGAAGCTGCATAAAGTCTCAATCGTTGGTGAAGGGTGGGCCAAAAGTGGTCATGAACGCGCTCTGAGGAGTTTGGATCAAGCGAAGACCTTCCTGCTTCTGTTTCTCTCGATTGAAAAGTGCTTCCCACAAGATACAATGTGTGTACCCGCATATATTAAACCGTACGATGGTGGGTGTACTTCTGTGTTTTTATTTTCATCAGAAATGTAATCCTAAACAAAATGTCTGAAGTAAGGTTACTGAAGTCAGTGCTCTTCTGCCAACATGTGACAAACTTTTAAATTAGATTTCCATAAAAACCTGAACCACTGAATCTGTTTAAGCCGTCGAAACACAGTATCTTAGCTTGGGGTTTTATCCTAAAAGAAATTATTCAAATGTGTTCATATCTGGTGAAGAAGACAAGTGAGATTTTGTAGAATTCAGTGCTTAAACTCAACATTCCCAATAACTATTCATAAAACATAGGAACGCTCGTTGAGGAGCAGCAAAATCGGCCCTTTCGATAAACGACACTGGTCGTAGAGTTGCACTGATTGAAGCATTCGATACGCTTCCTGACTACGCTCCTTGATCCGCTTCAGCATGATTCAAAACGCTGTAGTATATGATTCAATCAACTCGAGTGAAAAACCTACTACGTATTCCTTTAGTGCAAACTTGGCTTTGATAAATGTTTGGATGCTCTAATTTTGACTAACATTCCATAGAATGTTCTATATGTGTTAGAATTAATTTCTAGTTGCGTATTGCTTAAAGCTAGCAAGAACGGATTGCTTCTGCTCAGCAAAAAAGCTTAGGATGGAGTTAGTCATTAGTCATTAGTCAGTTAGCTCATCGTTGCCACAAAACCTCTGATGGCGATTTTGTACCACACCTTCGTTGATGGCTCCCTGATAAAATGCAAAACTAATATTGTTACGGTTTACGTGACTTCACATGCAAGACGTTACCTCATTGGAAGATTTAACACAATTGTTCTTCCTCAATTTTGAACCTACTATTCTGAATTGAATAAGAAATTAATAATTTGAGGTGAAAAATTAAAATGGACAGTAAAATCCTCCAAGCGGGCCACCCGTGGTTACTCTACTTTTAAAAAAAGCGCTAAAAAAGGGTCCAATTAAAGGCTTTTTGCTCTTTATATTAATCATCTAGGAGGAGCCCACTGGCCAGCTCCGGTGCACAACAATGACCAGCGGAAACCCTACTGGTATCTATACGAGTAATTCAATGGAACGCTGCAGACGATTACGGTCACTGGATGGCAACTGGTCTACTTGTAGCCAGCACTTTTTGTTAAGCAAGAAAATCGTGCTCCTGAAGACACGTCTTCTAATTATTGATCGTTGAAACCTCCACATCGCAGCATAAACGTGCATTATTCGTATACAAGAAGCACACTGGTGGTCCAAATAAGCACTAATTACGCTACATATATAACGCTATGTTCTTGTAAAAAGTTTTATAAAATTTGAAACTACCTGGTTTTTATCCAAATCACCTTCAGATAGTTCGGCTTCGCCCTGCAAATTTCACCGAAGATGAAACGAAGAAAGCAGCTGCTACAAACAAGAAACAAAGACCCACCTGCTCTTGAAATGTAATAATGATCAGAGCGACGAAAATGTTGACAAAGAAGAACGGGAACACAACAAAAAACATAACGTAAAAAAGCGCTACCTGAAAATGCAAAGATGCAAAACCCACTCCATTATAACAGTTTCACTGAGCTAGGCTAAGTCAAAATAACTCGCCGAATCACTCTAGTTGAAAGAAAACAGTTTACACAAAAAATAAAGTTGAAGTTCAATTTCTGCTAAACTTATTGCCCTTACCAACAATTAAGCATGAGGATGGTCTCTTTACAGTGCTTTTCAATACTTTCTCTCTGTGAATTCATTAACGCATTCGCGACGGCGTCTAATTTTTCGTGATCAGCGTACAGGAGAGCGCCCAATTTCCGGCTCTTATGGACTTGGCTGTTTCCTGACATTAACATTTTTCGATAAATGGGAGACTTGAGGGAATCTGAACATAAGAGGAATATAGAAGATACTTTGCTCTATTACACTATAGCTACAAATGGTAGCTTGGCTATTGTTTAGTGTGTGTTACTATGGTCCATCGTGTAAGCACATTCATGCCAACACTTTGAAGATTTTGCAGCTTGTTTCGAGTTTCTTTCTGTACTTTTCATACTCCTAACGGTTTACCGCCACATCGTGGCTTGGGGGTGTTCCAGGGTGTTGGAATGGAATGTACAGCGGAGTGATTCGTCCCCCCGACGGAGTCTCCCAAGCTGAGAAGGAGTCCGGTGTTTCAATCAGGAAGCCTAGCTAGGAGTAAACCAATATCAGGATCCACCACTGTCCTGGTATCAAAGTCGCATGGTGGCAAATCTCTCTCTGATCCACAGGTGCTGCGACTGCCTGTCGTGGTGACGACTTGGGCAAACTTTGGCCAGGTGGTCCTCGGGGTTCCAGAGAACCACAATGGCTTAACAAGCAATTCTCCGAAAAATGATGGTTATGCTGGGGTCCGCACAACTACTGAAGACGGGCGTCCAAGTATCAAGTAAGTAAGTTTTTGTACTTATCCATTCCAAAAAAAATCAACTTATTAGTTTGATTAAAAGTGAAAAAACAGCTGATCTCCAGTCAAATTGCAGATCACTGAAATTGTTTCAGAAAAACTTTTCTGTATACTTCTAACGCAGAGCAGAACTTTTCTCGGTCGACACCTGCCACAACACCTGAGATGGAAAAGATATCATCAATTCACTAGAGAAAAAGCCAAGATAAGACTTTACTGTGGGGAACGAAGACGCTATTACCTTTTCTGGAGGCTAGGCTAACGCGTTCACTACCACATCAGAAAACCCAAATCGGCATTGAACGCAGTTAAGCTGAGATTGCAGTCGATATCACGGTGTCAACATTTTTTTTAACATCTACTACAATTTTCGCGTAAGCGTATTATGCGAAATCAACCACAACGATGCTGAGGTATTTGCAAAACTCCGGACGGGTAGTGTATGCGGTGGGGATCGAACACGCTATTACCATTTGGTGAAGGCGAAACGAAGAAGACATATGCTGTGGTGGTTAACGCGTTAGCCCCCGGCAAAGGTAATAGCATGTTCGATCTCCATCGCATACACTACCCGTCCGGAGTTTTGTAAATATCTCAGCATTATTGTTGTTGATTTCGCATAATACTCTGCCGTAAAAATTGTAATAGGCAGTAAATGAAAAAGTTAACATTAAGGAAAGAGTTCTCAACGCCAAAATAAACCAGCTAAAACAAAACAACCTCTGTAGAGGTCATACTGGCCACAATATCTTTTTACAACTTACATCTATAGAGAACACGTCGTCGCGAATGTGTTAATTCCAGTGCAAACGAGCTTACTAACGTACCTCTACACGATAAAACGGACTAGGCCCCTGATCCTCGAACGTGGTGTCCATAGAGTTCTGACGAATACCTGGCCATCCCTCACCCGTAGTGACAACGAATAAGGTAAGCATGGCGTTGATGGTGTTGTCGTAGTTGAATGGACGCAGTCTCCATTCACGCTGCTCAACTCGTGGTGGTTCATTCTCAAAAAGGACAACAATGGCAAAAAAAATTGGCAACAAGGATAAAATTTAAATCGAAAACTGGAATAAGAACAACAATACAGGAGAGTTTAGCATACATTGGCATAAAAGCTTTAGAAAAGCAAAAATTACAACAAATAACGTTAATCACACATGGTTTGTGCCATTATTCTAGTCGTTATCATCAGTCATTAGTCTTCCATTCTTAGCAACAAGCGAAATCTGAACATTTGCAAAAATAGCACATTGAAACCGTGATTTCTGTTTGGATCGGAGTACATGTATGGGATATTGTTCTAAAGTAATAAATGTAGACATGCAAACATGACGACAAAGAATGCTATCGTGGAAGAAACAGAAATAAAATCACAGAATGGTTTATACAAAAAATCGACAGAATGCGGAAACATGGGTTCAACAAAAGAGGACGGGAGTGAAAATATGAAGCAGAGCTCGTAATTTACAGTACTAACTCTAGTGTCTGTCACACAGAATAAAAATGTTTTACCTGATTGTCAAAAATGAAGAACTGGCCATGACATTGGTATGCGAAGCGTTTAGTTTTGTCTGTGCAGTAAAAGAACTTTCCATTGAACAACTAAACAAAGAATTTAGTGCGTGACTTTTGTAATTTCCTTCTCTTATGCTAATGTAGTGGCCGATTGGAAACGCGAAATACCATGTACGCATCTTGGTGTGTTAGTGATCTCATGTTCTGTACGCTCTGATGGTATGAATTAAACTTTCCGAATGAATGAAGATGTATTGCTGAGTAGCGTAGTTTCGGTTTTGTACCTTGTATCCTGTACCCCGACTCCAACAAAAAGCCAGAAATCGAGCTACGACAAAGCAAAGAGTAAGCTAAGTAGAGCCAGAGGAGCTCGAAGACTTATTCTTGGCTATCCCTTGTTGAAAACAGTGTAAATGAGTTTCATAAGGTGTTTAGAGTGCGAGTTGCGCAAGGGTTTCAGGCGTCCAGCAATGCACAGGGTCGTTCGTCAAAGTTCCTGCCTCGGGAGAGCCAATTCCGAATTCCTCTGGAGTCCGTAATTCGGTACCGTGTTGCAGGATTAAAAACAACGACTTTGCATAACAGGATGCCCTCGAAAATTACTGCATAGGTTAAAAATGCAGAAATAACGAGAATACGGGAAGTAGTGTAAAGACTATTTCCCATGTTGACGGCAACCATTAGACCTATATGGGAGTAGATTGGCCGATGTGAATTGATTTTCAATCCACAGGGCTTATTTTAATTTACACTGTGCACGGTGAAAAAATGGGAGTGTCAAACAGCGCATAAAAGTGTTCGCCAGACATTAACTGTTACTAGGTTTTGACTTGTAAAAATATTTAAGAGGCACTTGTACCTGTACAGCAATTACTCCAAAAATGAATTGAAACAAGAAATATACTATTAAAATGTTGAAGACGTTTTTAAGTGAATTAACCACACAGTCGAAGACAGCCTAAACACAAAGTAGAACTTTCATCTTCGATGAAATTATAGCTAATACGAAATTATACCTTGAGCTTCGGTATTCTTTTGATGGTCTTGAGTGGCCGCAGTACGCGAAGCACCCTTAGTGATTTGATGGTGTTTAAGTTCTTACCAGCGGATCCTTCAGTGCCACTAAACAAAAGTTCCAGCAAAAAGTAAAAGAATCTATTCTTGATTAGTGGCGCAAGAATAACATATTTCGCAGCTATAATTCATACATCCTGGCGTAAAAGAGATACTAACGATCGCCATTAACGAAATAGGAAAAACTTAAGAGTGCCCGTGGCAAAAAGAACAGTTCCCTGCACTCATAATTCAGATGAACACGTGTTTCTTGATGACGGGATTGTCAGTTAGTACGACTTTCAAGCACATCACGTCTTTACAATAATAAGCTGCAATTGTGGCGACTATTACGTCTTCTCTTCCAAAAATGCATTAGAATGGCACTTTAAATTTTCATAGGCGTTGGGATGAGAGGATTTGGGGGACATACGCATTGAACATCTAACAGCGCCAACAATGGGTAAAATAGAAATCAACGTATATAACGTATTCAGTTCACTGTTCATGTGCTGAAAATACAAGCAAAGCAGTATAAGCAGCGAGTTAGATACTATGATAAAAGTGTAGATTTTTCAACGTGTTATAATTCAAAATTTGGAATAATTCTTATCAGTCCGCAGTACTAGTAGAACTTGAAGATGTAGGAATGAAGGCCACTCACGCGAATCCAAACGCAACGAGAGCGCATGTCACGACAACACCATCGAGAATGTTCCAAAAATCACGACAATACGATCCGGGATGGAGTATAATACCTTGGTCGATCAGCTTAAAAAGCATAAGCAGAACATCTTCGTTGTAAGTACGAACAACTGCTTCCATCCAATGTCACATTTAGATCAAGAAGTGTCGAACGAAAAAGGTTGAAAACAGATCAAAAATGCATTTAAGCCTCCAAAGAAATTGTTATCTGATGTATACGATGAAAACAAACCTTGAGCAACATTTCGCATGCAAACACACCAGTGAAACAATAATCCATATATTGTAGTACTTTATTCCTGAAAAGACGAAGCTAGAACTAGAACATGCAATGTATTTCGATAATATATTGTTGTGAAAGAATAGGTTTCCAATGTTAAAGACAGAGTCGAACCTCGGATTATCTTCATCTACTGGGTCTTCCGCAGCCAGCGAGATCGATGACAGACAAATCACTCCCATGACCATCATCTCGAAGTATTTTGTGCAAACAATGCTGTGAACCAGTACGCGCAACCTGCTTTTGGCAGCAAGTTACTTAAACCAATATGTGGAAGAAAAAAATTTAAATCACACACGGATTTGATGGAGAAAGAAAAAACATTGATGTGTAGGGCACCATCGGACGCGGTCCTCCAAACGGCGACTCCTCTTCCTCGAATTCCTCTTCTAAACAGGGCTATTATATTGCTGCAAAACATTGGAACACTGTAGTACCTTCTAAAACATTTTACTAAAGGGTAGGTATTAAAACAAGTGAAAGAAGTTACACAATAAACTGAAAAACACCTACCTTCATCTGGATCATTCCCATTCATATCAATGGCACAATGGCCGCCATCCTAAAAGAAAAAATAAGCCATGAGGTATCCAACACCAAATATTATCAGTTTTAATTCAGTAGACAGCAATAATGTCGCATTTTCTACAAAAAAATAGAACGAATAGCTGATTAAACCTACCAATGATTCACCGCCTCACCATGGCTAGGAGGTGTTCCTGGGTGTCGGGCTACGATGCACAGCAGGGTCTCCCACACTGAGAAAAAGTCCGGGGTTTCCACTAGGAAGTGTAGCGAAGATTAAGCCATTACCAGTACCCACCACCGTCATGGTGTCAAACTAGTCGCATGGAGGCAAATATCCTTCTCATCTACAAGACTTGCGACTGCCTATGGTGGTGACGACCAGAAGCAGACTTTGGCCTGGCTGACCTGGGAACTCTAGGAAGCCACAATAAACCAGCAAAACACCGAAAACATACAAGCTATGCTAGGGCCCGCACAACAAGTAAAGACGGGTCATCCAAATATCGAAGTAAGTAAGGTAAGTGAAGGCAACAGTTGGCTCGTTTAAGAAGTAACAACGATGAAATTAAAATGACTTGGCTCACGATAACTGAGAAAAGAAGATAACGTTCATGATCTTACTGGTTCATCCTCTTCGCTATCGTCCATCTCATTCGCTTTTTCATCAGCTTCTTCAGCTGCTGTGAGTTCCTGAGCATTTGCCAAATTATCTACAGCAATAGCCAAGAATACATTCAACAGTGTATCTAAACACATATCCATAGAAAATATCAAGGTGTCACAAAGATGCAACAATATGGATAAAAATTCTCTTCAAACGCAACCATTCCTTTTCGAATTTTTATTTTCGTTCAAACGAAAACTGCGCTCACGAGGAAACCAAGCTCTTCCGCGCTTCAGTAAAAACCTCGGCTACATGTTACGTCATAAAAACTGATTGCACGAAAAAGTGAAGCTTAACTTACAATTTCCGAAAAGCACCAGAACAATAAAATATATACAGTACACCATGCCACCGCCATATATACCGCCTTGTGCTTCGATGGCCAGGTACATAACCTCGTTCCAATCTTCACCCGTCAATATCTGTCAAACAGTAAGAGATGTAAAATTTTATTAGGCAGTTCCAGAACCTGAGCCAGTATTTCAGCTATAAATTGCAAAAAACAAAGAATGAAAAATGGAAGAATTTCGAAGGTAAAGGACTAAAATGTAAAAACTACGAAAGCTGTGACAGTTCTTTGTTCACTGATATAGTTGCCGGTGAAAAAAATTATTTAAAATACTACTTATTTTTTAGCTGTCATCTCGAAACAACAGCAAATTTTTAAAGGAATTAGTATTGGCCACAATGATGCTGGGATATTTGCAAAACTCCGGACCGCAGGTGTCCACGGTGAACAACGAACGCGCTATTACCCTTTCCGGAGATTAACACGTTCACTACCACGCCATGCGGGTCATCCGTTTCGCCTGTCTCTCAGTTAGCTCTTAACTGGGTTCAATGCCAATTCAAGCTCTCCAGATCAATCCCGTTGGCGGGGGATTGCTGATGGCAGTGATCGATAGAACTACCGGTGAGACAGACGAAACGGATGACCCGCATGGCGTGGTGGTGAACGCGTTAGCCTCCGGAAAGGGTGATAGCGCATTCGATCCACACCGCAAACACCTGCGGTTCGCAGTTTTGCAAATATCTTAGCATCATTGTGGTTATTTCACGAATAATACCCTGCCGTGAAAACTTGTAAAAGGCATTAAATAGAAAGTCAACATTGGGAATTGATAATTTATGAGAAAATAATAATTACATTTATTAAACTTTAATGTGTTGACAACCAGAAAACACTAACTAACCTGGAATACAGTGATTAAGGCAACAGGGAACGTATCGAAATGCGTGTAGGGGTGCATTGTAGGAAAATTAAATCTGCAAGCATACATTCATACATTTGCTTGGTTATTATAAGAAAAAAGTATTAGTGCCAGCCTTTATAGTCACACACCACTGCGCAGTAATAGCCATAAAATATGAAACAAAATGTGGAAATTTAGTTAGCACTTTTCAAACTTTAGAAGCGGTAAGCCTCCCGACGGTTTACCACTTCATCGTGGCTGTGAGGTGTTCGTGGGGGTCGTGCTGCGATACACAGCTGGGAGATTTATTCGCCAGCAGGGCCTCCCACTCTGAGGAGGAGTCCAGTGGCTCCATTAGGAAGCCCAGCTAACAGTAAATCCATGCCAGGAGCGACCACCATCCAGGTATGAAACTAGCCGCATGGTGGCAAATCTTTCTCTGATCCACAAGAGCGGCGACCGTCTGTGGTAGTGACGACCTGGGGCAGACTTTCGCCTGGCTAATCTCGGCATTGCAAAGAACCGCAATGGCTAAACCAGCAAAACTCCAAAAAATGGAGATTATGATGGGACTTGCACAACCAGTGAAGATGGGTCGTCCAGGTATTCAAGTAATTTAAGAAAATATTAAAACATATCAACTTTAAACCTTATAGGAATATCTAATTTCTAAAAATAAGACGTAGGTAAATCTACGCGAGTTGTACGGAGGAAGAAACTACTCACTTTCCTCCAAATAGTTGCATTCCAAGCAGTGCAAATATGAGAATGAAAAGAAAAAGGAGAAATAACAATGAAATGATGCTCCTCATTGAGTTCATTAGTGAACGAACCAAATTACGAAGCGAAACCCAGTACCTGAAATGCATGTGACTTTCGAATTATTTCGAACAAAAGTTGTGTGAAAACCCATTCTTTGCTTTTTAAGCAGATACGACGTTAATAGTAACAAGATTTATTCAGAATAGCTAACATTTCGACAGTTTCGTCCTCTTCGGAGCCTAGAAAGGTCAAATTGGTATGCAGTCTACTCAGCCAACCACTTTCATAACCTTATAAGACAAAACACAAAAACCTAAATTTCCATTCGCATAACAAACAGCTTCTTTTAAACACCTACCGATTTATTCCTTGCGAGTATTCCAATTAATTGGTGGAGAGCAGCCGCACACAGTGAGTATACATGGGAGAGGACTGTGCTTTGATCAGGTCACAGAATCTGCCTGAGGTATGGCGCGAAGTCACGTGTGACCTCGACCTCGACAATACTCCTTGCAGTTCTTTTTTGGGTTTTTGAAAGTGATCCAAAACGCTTTAAGAGTTTTACTCACTGATATTTTGCATTCCAGTGTGAGGAAAGTGACCTTCAGTTCAAAATCTTCGTTATGCTTTTCTGTCCTATGCTTGCATAGTGTTTTGTTAGAATTTATGTTCCACATGTTTTACAGGAATGCTGTGTCTACTCGTTTCGCCAACGTACTGATCCCCGAAATCAGGTCGAAGTTACTCTACGACAACCCGAGTTCGCTACAAATGAATGTTTTAGGCAGTGGCGGATAAAATATGGTGTTCGCTTAGCTAAGACAATCTGTTGCGTTTTTTACGGACTTCCTTCACTAGTCGGATGTTTTTTGATACAACAGGTAGCAATTCTTAGGATACTAAAGTTTAGGTACTAAGTTTTCTCTGTTGAGACGATAAAAGTGTTGATTTGGATAGACTATGTGTCAACATAACCTTCCCAAGCTCTGAAGGTGGCCACCGAAACGTCAGCTGCTATTGAATAAATCTCATTACTGACAACTCTGTGTCTGCTCTAGGACAAAATGTAGACTTAATGAAAAGGCTTAGTTTAGTAGAAATTCGGTTTTCAGGATTCTTGGAAAGGCCTCTACAAAAGAAAAACGTCACTGAAATATTGTTTGAAGGTCTTTTGTATATTATGATAGGATATGTTACTAAGAATAACTCTATAAAACTATATGATATAAAGTACTAAGTGAACCACTGCATCAATTAATGGAGGAATTGGTGGGTCCTGTACTGATTCTGCATCGCGTAGATTAGTCAAGAATAATTTCGATTCACATATACATATATGTATATATATCCATGTATATTCACGGTAATTGAGAAAAAACTTCTTGTTTTGAAATATTAATGTTTTTAAGGTCGTAATACTTTTTTACGGGCAGGTGTAGCGCAGCGGTTACAGGTAATCTGCAATATACACATAATCTCTGGTTCAACTCATGCCCGGGCTTACCTAACTTTTCGCACCTCCAGAGTCGGAAACTGGTACCAAAATTGTCTAGGAGGATAACAGCACTGGCTTGATGCACTGATCACTGTATCGGTAGGCCACCGCGATTCATTGTAGAGGCCAGATATGCATTCAATGACCTCTAACGATGTTTAGTGAAGTCGATTGCATGGTGTTTTCCTCAAGGATTGATCAACGCTAAGAGCCTTATTCTTTTTTATCCTTTAATAGTTCTTTTATGAGATGGTTACCGCAATGCCGATAATGCTGTTCCTCACGGGCGCGGTTCTGGTCCGACCCACTCCCGCAACCACCAAGCCTCTGATAACTTTTGGTTCGAGAAATTTGTGCAGGCTTGTTTCTCCTCCGGCCTCAACACGGAAAAACATTTTTCCCAAATTTCTACGCATGCTACACAAGGTACAGAGATTAAATCTATGTCGTTGCTTTCTTCAAAATCGATTATTTTGTTTGAAATTCGGAAGCACTGCAGAAATAATGGACGTCTAACCTTGCAAGAATGTCCGCAACCAGTGGCGCCCTACCAGTTTAGAGATCCGTTATTTAAACGAAAATACGGTGGATAACTGTTAAGGCACGCCATACTAAAGCTAACGCAATTACGACGAAGAATTTCGCGGGAGAGATCTTGGCTATAGGATATTTAATTAATACTCGGAGAAGCGGTCTCTCTTTCAACTTCAGTGACCCGCCCGAAGGCAGAGCAAGATGTTCGAGAAATGTTTACTCATAGGCACCCCGCCCACCTCACCTCTCATCCTAAAGGAACCCGAAACTTGAACATTTGATTTTTACATAAGGTAGCAAGTTCCAAAATTTTGCTATCGTTGTTCGCCTATGACTAAATGCCCACTTCCCTAGAAGAAGGAATGCTCAACGTGGTCTACATGAGTGGGTAGTCACAAGTCCTAATCTAACATCCTGCGACTTTTTTTTTCAGGGTTAGTTAAAGGAGCAAGTATACTTTATCAAACTAGCGATTTTGGAAGAATTTGAGAGGCAAATGCGAGAAGTTACGTCTTCTATCCCATAATAGCACCTGGTGAAACCAGTTGATGTAGTTGCTGGGCGGCTTGAGAAAATGGTGAGAAATACTAGTGCCAGTATCGAATTTTCAATAAAACTCTATACTACAGGCGTTCCTCTCGTATTCATTGCTTATAAAAATAACAGGAGGGAAATAAGTTGTAAGGATTCTAACAGTTGTTTCTCAATCAACAATATAAATTTATTCAGTTTTATTTACTAAATAAAAGAAAAAAATCAAAAATGTTTCCGAAACTGACGATGTTAGTTTGAAAATTCTGAGCAATCGAAGTGCGCGCAAAACAGAAATACCGAAAGAGCCGCCTTTCGCTTCAGCCCAAATCACTTCAAAAGCAGAACCGACAATGACAATACAATCGAAACGATTGAACTGAAAATTTAAATTTAATTAGATAACTTAGTACCACGAAAGGATAATCCAACAGTACCTTTGATGCGAAATACATTCGGGAACCCATGGCAAACAGTTTGAGCAAGACTTCCATTATAAAAATTCCTAAGAAGACGTACTCAGCATATTCTGAAATTTGACAATGGAATGCTTAGGAAAGTTTCAAATATAGATTTTGAAGTCACTAGAAGTTAGGCAGACAACTTACGTAAAAACTCCGTAAGCCACGGTGGTTGCCCGTAATGCTCAGATGCGACGCATGCCGTGTTAAGAAAAACCAACGTGATGACGGACCAATAAAATACTTGTGTTTTTACTATTACCCGCATTTGAACTCTAAATACAACTCCTAAGCGAGAGCACGAAAAAAGGAGATTCGAAGAGTACCGTGCTTTCCTAATTCGTTTACATAGGAAGTAGTAGCATCCACGACGACGGCGGTCTAAATAAATATAGTGCCCAGGAGAATAACAAGAGCGTTATAAGTACTGGTTCCTCTCTAATTACTAGATCCACTTCAAAACGGCTAATTCGCTGTTCGCGCATATCTATCCAGAAAATCAAATGAAGCGAATTTAATGAACAGGACAAGCTTGCCTAGAGACCTCCTTACCTATTTCAAACGATGTGCAAGCAACGAGTGCAAGGTAGAAAAAAAAACCAAAACTGTGGAGAAATAGCAATGCGTGGATAGGATTCTGGTAGAATTCGTAACATAAGCTTGCGAACCATAATCTTCTCCTGGCTCGCCTCCCTCATCAAGATATTCATCGTCCAGTTCTTCTTCCTCTTCTTCAAGATCTTCTTCCGTCTCTGTTGACTGTTGCTTTGATGAGTCTTTCATCTTTTTCTTAGTCTCAGCCCGTCGACGACCTCAAAACAATTTGGTATTTCTTTAACGACACATTGACTTCATCTTCACAATGATATAAAAAATCTCCGAGGAAACTAGAGCAGAAGTAATTACAGCACGTAGAAGGACTAGGAGTAGCAAGTTGGCCATTCAGCGATGTCCACAGTGCATCTTTTGCAGGACTGCACATTTTTTGCACTCCTACTCCCACAACTTCTCACTAAAGCTGTGAACATTTCCCTCAAAAATGTCTATCATATAATCTATGATTCTTACAGCTAACACTTTTTCACACTATTTGCACTCATTTCAACGACCAACCTCTACAATAGGCACCTGTCGAACAGAATTTACATACGCGTTATAAGCACTACACTTCTAAACGCGAACAACCATTGCAAATTACAACCTTTGCACATTCGCAGTGCGTTCTCTTTTAGAATTTGCACTACCTTTACCTATTACTGAAGTATTCTAAACAATGTCTGTTGCATTGGTTGCACCCAGTGCGGTTTTGCATGGCACCTTTTACAACTAATTTTGAAAGCTGGCATTCTGCCAATGCCTATGAAATGCGACACCCCTTTTTTCTATAGTGGAGGTCCTTCCAGAAGACATGTCCCTTAATATTAAGGAGCTTTACTGCCAAGAATCGAGCTAAAATACACGTGAATCCCGAACTCACTTGTCGAAATTTTCAGCACATATTGCTTTTTTTATGCTTTCGCGATGAATGTTGTTTCACGCTTGATGTGGATATCATGATAATTTTCCATTTATCGTCCCACTTGAACACCATTGTACCGTTCTTGTTCTGTTCCTCCTATAATTGCCCACCCCTCAACTTTTACATCATCATCTACTTGAGAAGCGCTTCTCTGTTCTTCCTCCATATGGTCATAAGATTGTTTCTCTTCTTGAACAATCTCTCAGCAAAGCAGACGTCAGTGTAGAAGTTATCGGTGAACAGATGTTGATTAAACAAATCGAGCATAAATTTCGTCCTCACCAACTTGGCCGGACCTCTTGTTATCGAGTGTCTTTAACGAAATATAGTGCAATGTTATATGTACAACTACCTCTTCCGTGAAATTTCGATAATATTAGTCCATATTTAGTGAATAGGGATGTATTGGCGAAATACAGCCCGTCCTTGTAAGCGGAACGAAGGAATAGTCAAATCTCACATCTTTGCTTGGCTTATCTTTTACATATTATCTTACAATTCCTCTACCTCATTCATCATATGCTTCACTGTCGACCAAATGGTCATCAACCTTTTAGAATTGCGCGTTCTCATTACACCTGAAGCTACGGGATCGGCTGCAAGAACTGAACAGGTATTTTAAAAATTCCTCAGCCTTGCCTGTTTAACAAATACCATCTGCGATAAAAATCAGTATATCTCTTCGTCTGTAGGTCTTCAGAACTCGTCCTTTTCTTGTGCATGTCTGTTGGTCTCATTTACGGGTAGTTCATAAATATCAACTATAAACAAGTTGTAATTCACCACACGACATTTTAAAAAAATTATTTTTGTGATGCTATCCTTTCCGCGTTCTTGCTCAACACCTTCATCTTCGCTTTCATCCTGAAGTAAACTTTTTTAGATATTCTATCGATGAAGAGCACCAGCGTCAGCCTTCCAGCGGTTTACAGCCTCATCGTGCCTCAGAGGTGTCCCTGGGTTCGAGCTGCAATGTACAGCGGAGGGATTCATCTCCCTGGCAGGGTCTCCCAAGCTGAAAAGAAGTCCGGCGTTTCTATCAAGAAGCCCAGCTGGGAGTAAACCAGTATCAAAAATCACCACAGCCCTGATATCAAACTAGTCGCATGACGACAAACCTCCCTCTGATCCACAATGGCTGCGACTGTCTGCGGTGGTGACGACCTGGGGCGAACTTTGGCCACGCTAACCTCGGAACACCAAGGAAACACAATGGCTAAACTAGCAAAACCCCGAAAAATGGAAATTATGCCAGGCTCACACAACCGGTGAGGATGAGCCGTTCAAGTATCCAAGTAAGTAAGAAAAGCACCAGTGATTCAATAATATTATTTGACTCGCACAGAGAAACCATTGGAAAGTGAAACAGAATTCGTTTTTCGCCGATATGACTAACTTGTTCGAATAACTAGATTTCCCGTCTTCAGTGGTTGTGCGATCCCCAGCATAATTTCTATTTTTCGGAGTGCTGCTGGTTTAACCATTGGGGTGTCCTGGAGTTCCGAGGTCAGCCTAGCCAAAGTCTGCCCCAGGTCATCATTATCACAGGCAATCGGCGCTCTTGTGAATCAGAGGGAGATTTGCCTTCATTCGACTAGTTTGATACCAGGACGGTGGTGAATCCTGGTATTAGCTCACTCTTAGCTGGATTTCCAATGGCCCTGTTGGGGCAATGAACCCTCCGCCGTACATCGCAGCACGACGTCCAAGAACACCTTCCAGCCACGATGAGACCGTAAACCGTTGGAAGGGATACAATTAAAGACCATGAAATTCGATTTTTGATTAGTCGTAGATTGCTTCATTTCATTCACAGTCACTGAATTATAGTTATTGGATAGAGTCCAGGAACATGAAAAAGTCATAGGGAAAAACACTAAAATATGAAATACATATCTCCAAAAACCCTGCCAAAGGTTGACACCGCCATGGGAATGAGTTTTTTTCAACGTACAAAAGAATTTGGTTTCCCGAAAATCATGAAACAACTTTTCTAATTCGCATCACTCTACTTCACTTATTGTAAGGTTCTCAGAATTTCTTTCATTTAATTCATCTTGTTACAACCATCATCCACGAAGACCTTCAGATTTGCACGTGAATTTGGCTTCTGCTTAAGGATTTATGGCTTTGAGAATGTTTATGAATGTTGGTCGGAATGATTCTCCATGAAATCCTGGGATAGCTGTGCTGTGGCGTTCCTATGCCTTCGTCAGAAACGGTCAACAACCATTCTTCGAGGATCAATAGGGGAATTTTTCAAATGAGGCTGGCACATATTTAGCGACCCCCGAGAAATGGGAAATTTGGATGGACCTTGGCGTTCTCGAACCAGGGCCTCGCGCGTATTATTGAGCTGAATCTTCACCACTGCACTACTCATTTGTTGGCGTTCAGACCGATGAGCTGACTCGAAATTATAGTGAGCGGAGCGAAAAAGAACTTGAAATAGATGAGACAGCCGCGTGGATTTTGACGTCGGACTCTTCCTGCAGTTTTAATAATGCAAATTCTCATAATTAGAAGAACCTGCTAATATCAGCTACGTTTCAAACAACAATAAGCGCTAAATCCTCCCACCACAACAAAGTGAAATATTATCGCACTCAAACGAATCACGTGAGTTGTTTAAGGAAGAAGCAACATATGAATCAAAAGGCAGAGCTCCGTAGAAAGATATAGAAGACACGGAACCAACGGACCGTATAAAATGTGCAACACGGACATAGCGAAAAATCTAGAGTCGTCCCATGAATCAGCTATGCAAGGTTAGGTGTACTCATTTATGTGTCAAAGAGATGTAAAGAGTGAAAATTTTCTTGCATATGAGATAAAAAAAGAGTTAAAAAAATCATAAAAATAAGGCAAGTGTTATACAAGAATCAAACGTAAAATCAAATAAAAGGAGGTCTTCAAGGAATCCATTTAAAAGAACAAGAATTGATAAATTACAAGATGTACTTACTTGGATACTTGGCTGGCCCGTTTTCACTGGTAGTGTAGGCCTCAGCATATTCTCAATTTTTCGGAGTTTTGCTGCATAACCATTGTGTTTTCTTGGAGTTTCGAGCTCAGCCAGGCCAAAGTCTGCCCCAGGTCTTCACCACCACGGGCAGTCGCAGCCCTTGTGGATCAGAGAGAGATTTGCCACCATATGACTAGCTCGGTACCAAGACGGTGGTGGATTCTGGTATTGGTTTAATGTTAGCTAGGCTTCCTGATGTAAACGTCAGAGTCTATCTTTCTCATGTTGGTAGACCCTGCCTGGAGGATGAATCCCTCAGCAGTACATCGTAGTCCGACACCCAGCCACGATGAGACGGTAAACCGTTGGGAGGACGAAAATTATGAGATGTATTAAACGACACTTCAGAAAAGCATCTTATCCTACAGTTGAAAAACAGTCCTTTTCACTCAACGACTTGTTGTCACATGTTGGTCAAAATTCAAAAGAAATGAAACTATCGCAATATACTCTGCTATTAGAAAGAGTAGGCAGAAAATAATAAGTTAAAGTTGTGATTATAACTACAGCCTCAGCTTAACTGGATTCGCAGCCGATTTGGGCCTCCCTGATCAAACCCGCTGACGGATGATTGCTGTGGCAAAGATCGGTAGAACTAGCTGAGAGACATGCGAAACAAAGGACCCGCATGGTGTGGTGGTGAACGCGTTACTCCCCGGAAAGGACAATAACGCGTTCGTTCCCACCGCATACACTACACCTGCAGTCAGGAGTTTTGCAAATATCTCAGCATCATTGAAGAAATGGAACTGCTTTCTATGTCAGAAATTCTGATATTTACCGTCCAAAATCGCTTGCTTCTCCTCCTCAGTAGTTCGTTCCTCCTTGAGTATAACTTCTTCCGCCGCCATAATCCACTCAAGGTAGCCATTAAGTTCACGTTCGATTTGTTGTTGTCGACGAAGTTTGAGAAACTCACGCCGATTTTCGACACGCTCTCTTTCCTTTGCAAACTCACTGAAATCACACCTCACTGAAAAGTATTATATTCATGTGCCATCTGCAACTCGATATATATTTAAAAGTCACACATAGACCTAAATATTCAACATAAGACAGCTGCCTTAACATTTTCTATCACGAAGAGCCTAAAATCGTATAGCCGCGGCATCTGTTTGATGTCTAATTTTTCGCCGCGTTCTCAATAACTTGACAACAACTTGAGCTGGTCTAGCCCCCTTAGAACATGACCTGGCTCACTTTGTTGTAATTTCCGCTCTACAACTAGGTTCTCTACCGTATTTCATCGGAAATTTTCGCATCTCTCCTTTCTTTTTATGTACTCTTCATTACTTCGGATAGTTTCATTGATTTTTCGAACGTTTCGACATCTTTTGCGTGAAGAACAGAAAAAAGGAAAAATTCGTACGCTCTGCAACCCATGGTGCTGCCGCCGTTTGGTACCCTGTTTCGCAACACATGAAGAGAACGTCTCGTTATTCCTACATTCGCCCACAGCATGCAATAACAATGATTCCTATTGGTGACTGTGAAGGAAACAGCGAACAAATACAGGTCGAAATTGATTCTTATAGGGTTAAAACGTAAAGAACGACATTCGTTTTTCGTCAACTCCCGATAATTCTTTGATAACTAAAGTAAATGTTGAGCTAAGAACACGTTCACAGAAGAGAGAGTTTCCTACGGCCGTTAGTGTGTGAACTGGCTTGTAGTCTTGCTCTAATTTTGGATTTTATTTCAAGATTAAGTCTTAAACTCAAGGTTTTAGTCTTATAAGCTGGAGCTGCAGCGGCATGTATTAACGCTGAATTCCGGGATGACAGTGTCCTGATGTGACATTTCGCGTGTTCAGTCGCTTTGGTGTTCTACTTATGATCCTTGACTAGAAAACTTTTCTTGTAAACTCTAAATTCCAGAATTTCACCTCACTATGATGGAAGAAGTTGCATCTTATTTTCAACTCTGGAGATTAAAATAATTTTTTTGGACTAGATTAAGTCCACTATGGCGAAGAAAAGCTTGTTCGAAGTTGAAAGGTTGAATTATTTTCAGGCAAGTAAAATGAAATGCGACCACAATGAGGTGGTAAACTGTAGGATGGCTCATCAAAACCACTACCAAAGAAGGAAAAGTCAGTAATTTCAGAAGCTTAATTTGGAAAGAGATTATTCGGATTGCAATGGGGTTTATACACGTCCTACTTATGGGTCTGAAGTAATGGCGAAATCCACATTCTTGAAGCAGACAGCTCGTCTCCGCCTTGTTGACAATTTATGAGACATTAAACTGAAAACTCTGCAAAAGATCATACCATTTATCGAACACATAACTAGAAACTACCTAGAAATCTACAGACCTGGCAAGAACGTGCACTGATGAGACCCTCGTGCCTTTTAGAGGGAGATTCGTATCCAAGTCCACTAGAGGGGTTAAGGGATTCAAATTGTGCTGCAAAGGCAGCCACAGCACCAGTATCATAGTGCTTGCCGGTAGAAATACAGCAAAAAGTGGAAGTGTGGTTGAATCGACCGACAGTTGTGAAGCTCACCGAGACCGTCTGTTAAGTGAAGGAAGAAGCTTGTTCACCGATAATTGGTATACGAGTGTCTTCTTGGTTGTGCAACTACTCTAGAGAAAACCTATCTAATTAGTGCATGAAAAAGAAATAGATAATGAATTTTCGCCGTTATCCACAAAAAATGACTGGGGGACAAGTGAAGATTCAACAGGGCAGGAAACGTATACTGAAGCTAAAGGTAAAGAGAAGAGTGAAGGGAAGATTACATACAAAACTACCTCTTCATAGATTTAGGACTGCAATAATAGAAAATTGCATGATGTTCATTGCGGTGTTGCAAGTTATAAGGATTGCAGGGATGTGAAAAACGTAGACCATAAGAGGATGTAAAATAAATCTACTTGAGCACGCTGTTTATAACATCAATGCAATGCTATGATAGTAAGAGCCTTAGCATAACACACCGTTAGATGTGTACCTTTTTCAAAGATAAATACTTTTGGTAACCCTGATTATATAACCAAACTATACTTACACCAATGCTAGTTTTCCAAATGAGCTACTGTCTACCACTACCAGTAGTGAAATGACTTCCCTACGTGTCGAACTTCAGTGTTCGTCTACAGAACAGATACCTCTGCACTCTCCTCAAAGGCGGCGGTATGTGCGCTAAGTGCTTTACAACACACTATCGCGATCGAAAAGATTTTCGGAAATCGGTTTTTCTGAATTGTTAAGCATAAAGAGTAGCTTTTCCGCTCTTTGTTGGATAAGTATAGAATGAAAACCTCTCACAGTCAGACTCTAATTGCTAAAAATAGAAGCATGAATGGTAACACCCAAAAATAGCCATTTTTCCTGTCAAAGTGTAACTATTCGCGAGTCATTATCCTGCTTTCAGCCATGCCACAAACTTTTAGATTCATCATGTTTCATTATAAGCATTTCATGCACCATTATTCGATGTTTAGGCATTCAGAGTTTTGTATAGCAACGATAAATATCAAAGTTTGTCTACCGTAACATGGATATTTTTGAATAGATATCAATGCACATACGAACCCGGATAGAACTCCAAGGACGAGATTCAGCATGAAAAAGGATCCGAGAACGATAAGAGGAATGAAATATGCCCAGTTGTACGTACTTCCCAGAGAATCGTTCGTCTAAACAAGTAATCTTCAATAGATATTTGAAATCGCAGGAAGTAAATAAGGATTGCAATGGAAACAATGAAGATGAAATGCGAAAATTAAAAAGTAATTAAAAACAATGCGCATGAACTCCTCTCATTCCAAAAATCTAAACCCGGAAATAAAATTTGGAATCCTGAAAATCTTACGTAGTACATGACCGTTGTCCAACCTTCCATGGTAATGCATTGAAAGACAGTAATCATTGCGAAGGCTATATTGTCGAACGAAGTGATACCTTGATAGCTCATTGTTTTTTGCTGGCTTTACAGATATGAAGGAATCGTGTACAAACGCACCGTAATTGGGTCCAATCCACTTGTTCAGACATGTAGTGCCTGGCACATCGCAGTTATAAACTCCCATAGTAGTGGTTTTATTCGTGCTAAACAACCAATTTGGTTCTTCACCTTCTTTTTCTTTTGCTTCTTTATGAAGAATACTCAGCAATTGTATATTGTATCCACTTCCAAGCACATCTAGCAGCTATTCCCAAAATAATGAAGAACGGTAGCTGATGAATAAACAAATCTTCTCAAGGAAGAAAACATAACCTTGGTTAAAATTAGCTAAAACAAATATCTATATTCGACTGCAATGGGCATCGTTATAGGTGGTTGGATGCGTATCTTTCCTATACAACAAGTCGCGGTGGCCTACTGTTGCATTAGGTCAGTGCTGCTATCCTCCCAGACGAGTTCGGTGACAATATGCCCACCCCGAATGAATGCAAAGGTTGACGAGCCTGGGGCACGGAATCAAGCCCATATGTATGGAAGAGATCTTTTAACCATTGCGCTAAACGCGCCCATTGCGACATTACTAAATGAAATTCTCACGTAAACATAGGTGCGTTGGAGGATGATACAAGGAGTTCATTACATATATGTCAGCCACTTTTAAATTGTCAATAAAAATTGCTACTTTAACACAGTACTCGAGTTTCACTGTTTTCAGGCTGCTGTGAGGGTAGCACTCACCTTCCACATCAGTTACGGTTTTGTGCAACTGTTCACCAATCGCCAACAGCACATAATGAACGACAACGGTTTTAAGTTAATAGAGAACTCTTCGTTGCCTAGGGGACAGGGGTTGGATATAATACACGCATTCATAAAAAATACTTTGTTTTTCCGCTTTAGTTTGGTACATGTTGCTATTCAGTAGAGGTTACTATCGAGATGTGGTTCACGTTTTCGGTTAGTGTATTTCGTGCTGGTGATTTTTGTTAGTCAAGAAATGATTTTTATTAGTTCACGTTTTGAATTTTAGACTCTATTTCGCCTAGTCCTTTTTAACATTGATGCAGTGACGACTTCTACAAGCTCGATAAAAATATAAAAAGGATGATCAATCTCTGAGGGATGCAACATGCATTCGCCCTCATTATGCATCGCTAAAGGTGACTTGAATGCATATCTGACCCATACAATGTTTCGTTGCGGGTACCGCTTTATCGAGTCAGTGCTAGCATCCTCCCAGAAAGCTCTGATAACCAGCTGCCCACCTCAAAGCGACTGGAGGCTTTCTGGCGCCGGGACGCCAGATAGAACCAAAATCGCGCATTCACTGCGGGGAGCCTCTAAACACAGCGCTACACGCACGCCATCTAATACTGTGTTCCCTAAAACCACATCGACTGCAGTTAATTTGTTGCGGAAAGACGATCTTCACTTAAGTGACCAGACATGACATGTTTCTATGACTTCCTCACGGCCGATATTTTCTTTCTGATTGTGATCAAAACGAACAGCTGTGCAATAGAGAAGGGTATGTCACGTTAAATGAAAACATTTGATGAGATGAAAAATCCGTCGGTCTGCGAATTAATATGGGGCCTATAATGCTACTGATGGAAATTAAAGGAGTTCCAGGCTTGCTTTTGGATGCCATCTAATTGCAGCTCATGTTACAATAAGAGATAGATTTTAAAGGCTGTTGGGAAGCCTCTATTTGGAAAACGATGTACAAAATGACCGAAACGACAGGTTGTGCACCATTAAGCACTAATCGAGTTTTTTAAAAAAAAGTTTTATTAGACTATGGCGGTCCGAAAAATAAATTTTTATCCTTCCACAACTAGATATGGTAGTGCATCTGTAGTAATGACGCATATGTCCAATTTTTTGGATGCCGTAAGGCATCTCTACACTGATAATGGTTTTACAGTTTCCTGGGTCGAAAATTTAACGTGAAAAATCCGCCTTACCGTGAGCTGCTGTTAAATAGCAAAGAAGAAAGATTTTCTAAATAGGTCAAAAGCCTTTAGGGTTAAAGAAATGCTGAAAGGCTACACACCGTAATAATAGCGGTATAACGTCATTAAAATAGGAAGTTAACAGAATAATTATTAGAATTCTCACTGTTTATGATACAACGGTTTCCCATAAGACATCAAAGTCGCCGGATATTGAAAGCTACAACAACGGGAAGCCATTCGTTGATACAAGAGACTAGAAGGTAGTTCTGAGTCCTGTTCTTCTCCAGGTTGCTCACTCAAGCGTGTTAGATAAATATATGAGAGATCTACAGTGATCACGTGCAGGAAATTCGTCTGAGTCACTTCAAGATGAACCTCTATTATATTAGAAGCAGGACTCCTCCCATATTGCTGACTTCCCATTTCTAAAGAAAGTGGCACTAGTAGCCGAGAATATCAGCACAACTTACTATGTTGTAGCTTTAACTACCAAATAGTGCTTCCAAATACACCGTTGTTAGAAGTATTACTGTGCTTACATTTCCTTGGTGGTCATTATGAAAAGTGTACAGCTTTGGTTAAGAATTGCATGCATGGAAGAATTGCGAGCAATACACAAAATTGTTGATTCGGCGTAGAATCTGCAAATTCTGTGCATGTATAAATTGTAGAATGTAAAATAGATGTTCATGAGTACAATGTTCAACATATCAGCCTCGGTTGAAACAGCTCCATAACTGCTTCTAAAGACAGTTTGTTGATACGCATACTCTGCGAACACCAACTCACTACGGACAAATCCCCTTGATGATTTACCATCTCATAAGAGTAAAAAGGCTTCTCTATGCGTCGAGTTTCAGGGTTCATTGTAGGGGAATTTCCGCGTACTCTTAGACGGCAGCAGCTTCTGAGATGGGAACTCTTTTCAACATCAATGGTTTTTGACCAAAAATTAATCTCGTTAGAAATAAGGTTTCTTGTAAATTGCTAAGTAAAGAGAAAAGCTTTTCACGAGCTATACCTGATACAACATTTATATCGGACTGTTGAATACAATATGCGTGTTACTGTTGTATCATACCTCCCAACGGTTTACAGCCTCATCGTGGCTGGGAGGTGTTCCTGGGTGTCGGGCTGCGATGTACAACGGGGGATTCACTCCTGGCCAAGGTCTCCAAAGCTGAGGAGTCCGGGGTTTCCATCAGAAAACCTAGCTAAAAGTAAACCAATACCAGGATCCACCACCGTCCTGGTATCAAAGTCGCATGGTGATAAATCTTCCTCTGATCCACAAGGGCTGCGACTGCCCGTGATGGTGAAGACCTAAGGCAGACTTTGGCCAAGCTGACCCCTCGAGACTCCAGGAAACCATAATGGCTTAACCAGCAAATCTCCGTAAAAGTGGAGATTACGGTTGGGCCCGCACAACCAGTGAGGACGAACCATTCAAGTATCAAATAAATAAGCAAGTTGAATACAAGGAATTAGATACAGAAATTGTCTCTGGAATAAAACCTCTAAAAAGGAATTGTTCTAATACTAAGTACTTCGTCTGCTTTGCCATCTCTACGCATAAATTCTATACGGTGCATCTCGGTTGTTGTGTGCCAAACACCTCAAGTGGTCTACCACGACAGTAAGTAACATTTGATAAACCATACGATATATTTCTTGCAAAAAAAAGTTCTAAAAGGATTTAAAAAATGTTGCATGCAGCAGGTGTATAAGCTTCTAATTATAATAAAAGAAAAATGGTTTTAAAATGCTTCAAAAATGATAACTATGGATGACTGAAACCAACCAAGGCGAGGGTTTTTCGCTGACATTTTCGATTTCTCCTCGTTCATTATAGCAAGCCGAGTGGAACGCCCCAGAGTAGAACTCAAGGCCGATGATAGCAAAAATTACAATGGCGAACAAAACCAGCAAACCGATTTGCAGTAGTGGCGCCATTGCGCACAGAATCGACTTCAATACCACTTGTAAACCTGTAAACAACAACAATCAAACATTACTCAGAAAGGATACGATTCTATGTTCATAAATCCTCTGAGCTTGAAAAATTTAGCTGCTTATTTTAAAAGGACTCCCATGTAGTGACCGTGCTGCTTATCCATACCCTTCCGCTGTAGCAACTAGCAACCTTATCTTCTTTTCGCCTTTGCAGATTTAGACATAGACGTGCACAGATGTCCTTATCCATTTTTATTTAACTGCATAACTCTGCTTTACGTATTGTTCAGATCACAGCACTGCTTTCATTCTATTCATTATCCTAGTTCTCTTTCACCACCACTGTTCAATTCTGATCGACATCATTCTCTATGGAATCCTGTGGCCATTCTCCTAGAACTTTTCCAGATCTTCACCGCAGACGTATTTACTGGCATATTTGGATCAGAGTGAGCTTCTTCTAGACACGTTTGCTACCAATCAACCACTCCGGGCGAATTGCAGTTGTCATTTGTCCGTAGCTGGTTTTAACCCATAACTGTACGGATAACTGGACAGCACAACTAATCATTACGCTTCTGGTGTTCCAAACGCAGTACTTACTCACGATTGATTGATAAATTTCCTCTTTGAAGTTTCGTGACCATCAAAGAGGAACTTAGTAAGCAACTTCCCCGACTCTTTGTTGTGAATGTTGCTGCAATTGCTTGGCAATAAAGCAGTGTTCTTGGCAATAAAACGGTGTTGGGTAGTGACGAAGGAAATTGCACCTGTTATGGCATGAACCACAAACGATGGGTGTTTCTCGCACATGCTCCTTTCACCGCATAGTATATTGTGCAAACAAATAATGTGTCGAGAGCAGTAAACTAGTGCTGTAACATTCAATTCATCTTCACTTTAACTGTCAAGTAATCTCCACGAGTCTCTAAGGCAATGGTAAATATCCGTATTTGCAGTTGGACAATTTTTTACCCACTAACGGTTTAGACTAAAAGACAACCTATTTGGTAAACTTCATCTACAAGAATTCTTGGCTTTCATTGCTCCACCAATTATCATTATCGTGCTCAACAAGAAAGCAAATCTAGTAGGCCTCAATGACGAAACTGGAAGCGGCTATGAATCACGGAAATCAGTGCCAAAGAGGAAACTACATAACGATTTCAAATATAGTGGAATTTTACCTCATTAGGTGTTCCATCGTCTCGAGCAGGGCTCCGTGAGAGACGAATGGTCGTTATCAATTCAACGCTTGCAAATTTAGTGTTAACTTTATACTTCCAAAGAAAAAAATCTTTCTTAGTAAAAAGAAATAATGGGTTGGTAAGCGCAATGAATTCAGCCTGTTGCGACAAGCTCTTTGTATAGTATTTTCGCAGCTAATACCTTATTTTCCTTTTATATCGCCCATCTTCACATAAAATATGCCGATTTCAGCACTTTTTCATTCGTTCCCTTGTCTCAAATCCGTCATTCGCAAACCTCTTGGGATTCGTGTATTGACTTTCTTGCTGCTCGAGGATTTTATCTTCTTCATGAATGTCCTTGAATGGTGGTCAATTCGCTATAGAATTTTGAAGTAGCTCTGGTAGAGCCCTCCCAGTTTTTCATCATAGGTAGTAGCTGGTTTCTACGATCGGGCGTAGTTTTTCTCATAATGTTAGCACCCATTTGCCTACGTCAGATGAAATGACGGGGTCGGTTTATTCTGGCTTGGTTCAGACCAGCATAACTGCGTGTATTTCACAGGATCTCTAAACATTGCATTACTTGCGCTACTAGTCAACAATACTCATAGATAAATCGTGGAGAGGACAATAACGTATACCAGCTCAGTCGAGCTCAACAGTAATCCGGTTACTATGCGAACGGTGAGATAAGGAGACAAAAAACAATAGAGTGGTAGCTTACTCGGGATGCCACTGACTAGTTTGAGCGGTCGTAAGACCCTCACGGCACGCAGCGTTCGCAAGTCCACGGTCTCAACTTGGCCAGATCCACCGCCGGCTGCAGCAGGTGACACGGGAAGCATCGTCACCACTCTGCAGTACAAATGTTACTCTTATATTCCAGAAACTTCCAAGGATCGTCCAGCTTTTGTTCTAAGCTTATCCAACAATGAATAGGTGTTCAAACCTTTGCTAGTTCAGGTTTTCCACATTGGAGCAAGATAATGATTAACGCTTATCAAAAACCAGTTAGTTATCAAACTGGTAAGTACTTTTCGTTCACCTACAATCGAAATCACTTCGCGCTGGAGAGTTCAAGATAGGTTCTGTACCCCGAAGAAAATATTGGTATGTTTTATTTAATACTGTTCTAAGCAGTATAAATAGACTAGCAATTCCGCATGACCACACTTTTACAAATTTTTACAAATAGAATGCTACCACTTTAGTGTACAGCAATAAACTTTGAAATATTTACGCTAATCAGTGAGAGCAATACTTTCATCATAACTGTGGTGACATTCCACAACAGACTATTACTCATCATAATTCCTCTTACCCAGAGACAACTACTATGAAGTCCATGATATTCCATCCGGATCTCAAGTAGGATCCCTTGTGAGCAATAAATCCGAAGGCAATAACCTTCAGCACACATTCCAAACAGAAAATGCCCATGAAGTACGGCTCGGTACGCTCCTTAAATAATTTTTGCTAATATGAATAATGTGGCTAATACAAAGACGCCTTTCGCATCTGAGTTAGCAAGTATTTACTGTACAGTTTAAAAAGTGGCGAGCTTCAGCCCATTGGTGACTGCATTACTACAACCGACGTATTTCTCAATGCGGTCTTGCAGCGACTAACACAGCTCCTTCCGTGGTCATGGTAAAAACCACTTCTTAGGCACGAAAACATTCAACGCGTTTAACACATTAGTACTGTTTTTGAACATGGTTGCGCAGTTATTAGGTTGGTAACCAGGAACTTTGGGTTTTGCTAAAACATTGCTCTCTGATTGAGTGTGAAGTGCAATTTTGTTGTTCCTTCTTGCGCTTACACACTGTCTAGAAGCTGTTACTCCTGTATTTCTCACTGAATTCTTACTGCTACCATTTTTCGAATATGAAATCTGCAAAACATTCGCAAGATATGGCGAGGCCATATGTTTATCGAGTTGTGGTAAAGAAACTGGCCGAATTCAGTTGCGAGGTTTTGCCTCATCAGGCACGTTGTTTACCTACACACCCACGTGCGATATCGCCTTATTTAAGCATCTGACACTAAGGAGCTTGTGTAATTCAGTAAAAAAAAAACACGAAATTCCATGACGACCAACCTAATAAAAGCAACAGAAATTATGATGACTCATGCTAAAGGAATGCTGTTGAAATCTGTTACGATCGAATAAATTAATAAGAACGTAAAACAAGAAATTAAGCTGCAGACATTGCCTTTTTAACTTACCATATAAGAGGATTTTTGAGAAGTCTGACTTTTCACAATTACCGGCCTAATCTGATTGTTCTGAGATGTAAGAGTGGGCATATTTTTCTTCTCAACTATATTTTAAGAGGGATAAACGTGTACCACATTAAAGTAATTAGCTTTCTTACCAACAGTTCAGAAAGCGGTTTCTTGTCATTTTTTGGTAGATGCTGTTCCATGGCTAGTACTACACAGTTTCCTGCAATAACTCGTAGATTAATCATACGTGAATGCATTCATAAGATTAATGACATTGGCTTGTGTATATCTCTCTTCTAGAGTACTCATATACTCGATCATTGCACTCAAAATACTACTCGTTCATCTAATGTTCTCAAAAAGAAAGCAGAGTTTCAAAAGAAAGAAGAAAAAGGCTGATAGCAATGCAATGAAATCAATATCTTTCAGTACAACACCAACGAGAGAAACGACAAAATCTCACAATGTGCGTCAAATCTGTAACTTTGAGTAGAACAGGTCTCTAGGAGAAAGTGTGTACGCAGCTCATTTGTACCTCGATGTTAGAATTTCTTCCTTTTGGTTGTTTTTGCAATTTGTGTACAATTGAAGTAAACATAAAAATCCTTAAACCTATAATTGTAAGCAGAATGAAGTATTCAAAAGGGCCCCATTCTATTATTGCCTTTGCGTTTCGTCTGATGAAGTTATCCTCTGAGAAGATGAACAGTGACGATGGACCCTGAAAATTGTTCGCAATACAACAGCTTCACAACATATCATATTGTTGTGTTTCGCATGAAATAATTATATAAGACAAGAGTTAACTCCTGTTTACACTCATATATGGTTCTCCTTTTTTAAAACATGAACTTGACTACCTATGAATACCCCAAATTTTGTCTATTACGTTATCACCTAAGAAAAGTTTTAGTAAATGTAAACTGGCTAAGTTTGGTGCGGGAAGACTTGACATTTCACCGGAGTGGATAATTACTTTGCTTCGTCAATTCATAGCATCCAAATTGGCAGCATAGAAAAACTATATGGCATACTTCATAAGAGTCACTTGCAAGGTGCTGAGGAACACTACGCTAGGGCTCATGGGTTCATGCATTCAACAGTACGGTGAAGAATAATGTTGTGCGCCTAACATTTTAGTTACACAACTTGTACAGAAACACACTGAAAAACTATACGTCAGTCGTTAAATCCACCATCATTACAGCTGTAGAGGGGTTCCGTAGAATCCGAAGAATGGAGGATAATGATGTTAAGCAATGGTAATGACAGTAATGGAAACAAACGGTTGGATCACTTGGAAAAGTCGACCGCAGTGCAAAAAAAGTGGCTAGGAAGATAAGATCAGAAAGAAAAGGTCTCATTTAATTGAAAGCGCCAATTATGTCTGAATTTTGCCAGAAAAATTTTTTTAACACAAAAGCATATCATCCACTAAATACTTAATGCGCGGCATTTCATGTCATAGAGCCATCCAGGAAGACAATCTGGACCGGTGAAATGTAAGGATTTGTGGAGAATACAAGTGTGCAGTGACACAGGTATACCGACAGCAACTGCTCCACCAGCCAACCAATGGAATTTATGAGCAAAGCTAAAGATACCAGTTATCAAAGCTTTTATTTAGTAGAGACTGTCGCAAGATTCTGAGCGGCTTTTATGTTGGAGATGTTTTGCCTTCAATGTAGAAATAAGAGGTCCTTGATGCCTGGCATCTACAGTGCAGAATCTTTTGGCCTGGTGCTATCTAGAATGTGGTTTTATACAGAGGAATTTAATATTATGAAAAACGAATTATTAAGCACTTTTGACTAGGTGCAAGTAGTCTTGAATGATGTGAATTTTCACCATCTAGCGAAACAGTTTATAGCTCTCACATAGAACATAAACATGGAAGTAGCCCTAGAGAGAAGAATGGATGATGAATTCTCCGTGATTGAGATCACACTAGAAATGACCGAGAAACACTGCGATAAAAGAGTATCTAATATAGAACCGCAACGATAAAGACCATGAACTTGAAAACATAAACTGCTTGAAAACTATTAAATCAGAGACGTAAACTATACATGCATAATTATTAATTAACTATATTAATGAATGAGAAAACAACGGCCGAGTTAGGCGAAGATGCTTTAGCATGTAGAATATAAGGAAAACGTGAAACTTCTAGAAAAATCGGTAAGAATGACTGACCTTTTCTTTGATAGGTGCATTTGATGTGAGAGTGGATTTACGAACTGCTGCAAATGGTCCAGAGTCTGTCTTCTGTTCGCGCCTAGCCTCCTCAGCTGCCAATCTGAACTTACCAGTTCGGACTAACCTTTCTCAGGTATCCCCCACAATCCCACATTAGCATTCTCTTATCTCAACATCTTCGTTTTAATTCTAATAACAATGACAACTTTATGAAAACACAGCGTCACAGTTGGAAGTCAAAATAAGGCTGCACCTGGCAATCTGGTCGATGCCTAACATTCTTCCCAACTATGGTTGACCTGCTACGGATCGAGAGCAAAGCAGGGGTGGTCCATTGAGAATCAAAACAAAAGTTGTCGGATCCGCGCGTGATGCAAGGAGTACTTCTATGCTGAGGACTCCGATCGATAGAGGGACAGCGCGGCCAACCCGCCTAGGCCCAGAAATGGAAATGGATATAGATGAACGCCCCAGAAGCAGATACCATCGAGGGTGAGTATGAACAGCACACGAAGCAACTCCGAATCCACAAAATCCCCGCTCCAACATTCGGACTTCATCATAACGTCATAGCGAACGCATCGTGTAACAACAATCACCAATTACGTTGTCCCTCATCTTTCCAGGAAACAGACAAGAGTAAATGCTCTCTCTAACTGGGTGCTAGTCGAAGGGAAACCATTGTGCTCAGTATTTCGAGAATTACCTTTGAAAGTCGGAAGTGTATAGGTCGACGTTGACATACGATTCTCTGTTGAATAATATTGAAACCGACCAGTAAATAAAACTCGAAAATCATCTGAGGAAATTATAGGACTGTGCTCTGCTAACGTTCAAGGGACAGCGTCCCATGATTTTAAAAGCAAAGGGAGGTACACTGCTTGCAATTAAGTAGAGAGTTATTGTATTATAAGAGGCATAACACTTCCAGAGAGCGCATGTCTGCTGTTATAATTGGTTCATGTTTCTCATGGGTTCAACATATTGTATGTGCTTCAAGATCGATTCTGTTGAAGACGAAATTGGAATGACTGCGAAAATGTGCAATAGATCGAGTGACTGACATCAATTCTTGTTAGTTTATTACTGCCTTGTAATTTGCTTAACGTCCGTTTGGTCATTTGCTTCCGGATCCATTAACTAGATACCAAAAACTAACTAATGAAAAATACACTTTTTTACATCTCTGCTTATTCTACATCCTAGAAGGCTGCGCAGCCAGATATGCTTTTAATGGATGCAGGTGCGTGCAGATAAACAAAGAAGAGTAAGCAATCGCATAACACACAATGCTGAGATGTATCGGTCTCAATGCGTACTTCGGCAAGGAAGAAAGTGGATGAAATACACTGGTCTCAATGTATTTTCTTTTCAGCGGCTTATTTAGATGCACAGGATCCTTTATTATCTCTGTAAGTTTTGTACTGAATCGACAGCTTCTCCAAAACAAATGCTGTGCCAAGAGTGGTTCGTGAAACTACTTTACGGGCGAGTTTCTTTCCAAGACGAAACATTGTTGCTAGCGAAGAGGGTGCAGAGATCCTTTGCTGCTTTAACACAGAAGTTCAATCATTAATGGCACTTTTAATGACATCTCCTTTGCTATAATGCGATGGTAAATCATTGACGAAACTTCCATAGATGTAGATTCAACGTAGATGTAGTTTTTGTTATGTCCCAACTCCAGTCCTCCAGTCATCGAAATATTTTCACCTATTTCTGAAAAACTAGTATCTGCTATGTGCTGACGGCGATATGATTGAATAGTGGATGAGTTGTACTGAGTTCGGTGCTAACATGAACTTAGTGTACCCCACGGCGGTAGCCAAAGAAAGGACGACAAGATCAAACGTCGAGCCTGGTGTGTAAACTTGGCGCGGAAATTGGCCTTCTTCAATGGCTATGAAGTAGTTGCACTACAGATAACAGTGGTTTAAAGGGCAATTCATGTCTAAAAGCAGCCGCCTTTGAAATTGCTTTCACATTTCCAATGAATTAAACATTTATTATTAAGTGGTGCCTGAAAATGGCCCTTTTTTCAGAGATTCCACTGTTAAGATTTGATCTGTGCCAAAGTTAATAGAAAGTCGGTCTTGGGAATTGTTCTTCAGAGATCGGTGGCTACGGTGAAATCAGCACCGATCATCAATATAAGAAGTGCCGAGATCTGCACTAGAGTTAAGGGTAGGTCATATATTGATTTTAAAAAATGATGAATAATGTGATACTAACATAATAACGTAATAAGGAGTAATAACAATAACATTATAAGGATGTAATATGTTAAATGACATATAATAGGTTTATTACACAAATACTTTGTTTTTTTATAGAAAATAAAACATTTTTTATTAAAAAACCTATTGCAAATTAAACTAAATTTAAATTACATATATAATTAATGACAAATAGTAGTGCAGTACACGTTATATATATATATATATATAGATATATACAAGTGTATATATATATGTATATGTATAAATATATGTATATATACATATATATGTTTATATATATCTATATTTATATATATACACGTAAACACGTTAGTGGAGGTAGTTGCGAATATGCGCACGTCTCTAGATGATCGGTGCTGATTTCACCGTAGCCACCGATCTCTGAAGAACAATTCCCAAGACCGACTTTCTATTAACTTTGGCACAGATCAAATCTTAACAGTGGAATCTCTGAAGAACGGCCATTTTCAGGCACCACTTAATAATAAATGTTTAATTCATTGGAAATGTGAAAGCAATTTCAAAGGCGGCTGCTTTTAGACATGAATTGCCCTTTAAACCACTGTTATCTCTAGTGCAACTACTTCTTAGCCATTGAAGAAGGCCAATTTCCGCGCCAAGTTAACACACCGCGCTCGACGTTTGATCTTGTCGTCCTTTCTTTGGCTACCGCCGTGGGTATTTATATATTACTTATATTGTTGCCTATCTTTTTATTACTATCATGTGCTTTATTACATTTTATTGTATATGCATATGTA